TTTTCGGCAATGTTTGGCCAAGAGCGTAGCGAACTAACAAAATGAGTTTATTTTTTGCTTAATTTCGCACAAATTAAAAACGTCGAATCCGGCTCAGTTACGGCTCCAAAAATCTGTAGATAGAAAAAGCAAGAGCAAGAAGCCCAGAAACAAGATTGAAAAGAAGGCAAAGTTTAAGCTGCATGCGTTTTGCTGGGAAACAGCAATTTTTCGTCTCGCAAACTTTTTGACGGCACTACTATATAATAAATATATACTATATGCGTATATGTGCATATGTATGTGTGCGAGTAAATTACATAATTTTTATTAAGAGTTTTGGTAGATATCGTATGCTGCCTTCTTAAAAAACGTCGATATCACGAACTTAACCAAACTTAACGGGCATTCAATGTGTTGGCAAAGTGCTTAATGCGGCTCTCTTATAAAAAGCGTCAGCTGAGCAGATTTCAGATTTCAGGAAGCCGAAAGCGTTTCGCTTTACGCTTAAATAAAAACTGGATTATGGTTGGCCACAAGCGCCAACAGCGCCATTAAATGCGGGGGCCACAAGATGTACACAAGTCGCTGATAAAAAGTATTAAATGACGGGGTACTTACGTCTTCGTTGGTTTTTTAAACTTACGACGGTGAGGAACCAAATTACATTCTCTTCCAGGTTAAAGGGTTATATTTCGAAATGGAAATGTTGAGGTTCGTTAAAATTCAAAAGGTTAAACAATTAGATTAACGTTGATCTATGTAAGTATATTACTTGGCAAACAAAACGTAGCTTCAGCTCTATAAGTATCTGGACCTTAGTCTAAACTACGTTCTGTTCCAGGTATGGTATATTTCGAATTGGAAACGTTGTTTTAAAAAGATTTTAGTTGATTTATGTTGGTTTATTACTTGGCCAAACAAAAAAGCATAGAGTATGCTCTAAAAGTATCTGGTCATTTTTCTGATATTATTTTGAGCAGCTAATCAGCAACAGCCTGATAGTCATGACTGCCAGAATTTAAATGCTTATTAATTATCTAAAAAAAAAAAATAAATATATTAAATCAATCTAAAACTTTATAAAGAAAATATAAAACAAACCTAAGAAATATATATAAAAAAAAATAATAAAAATAATAAAAAAAAAAATGGATTGAACCAATGCCTAAGTTCGGTTTATTAAGCACTCTTTCATTGTATTATACAATGTTCGTAGCTCGGTAAGATAAAATAGTTTGAAACTTGGATCACAAACCAATTGCAGCCTTAGTGCTCAGTAAATGTTATATAAGTAAATGTTTTAGTAAATTATCTAATTTGTTTACTTGATACTGTTCTGAATTCGAATTCCAACAACACTTCCTCAGATCTAGAAAATTTCTGTAAAGTCGTCAAAGCTTGGGCTAGAACTTTAAATGATTTATAAATACTGCAACTACTTTTGAAAGAATTGTTAGCTACCAATGTGCTGTTAACATGCATTACCCCAGCATGCCCCCACCACGCCCATCCTTGCCCCAACCCAAGTAATTTTGTCTGCCGCCTGCCGCAGCCTATTTGAAATGAAGCGAATGAACTCGCGCAGCCATTTGGCTAATTGTTCAGTTTGTTTTACGTGTAAGGCAACAAATTGGCCAAAGCACACGTTTGCCAACGGCAGCAGGAGTCCAGAGGTAGTCGAAGCCCGCATTGGCAGTGACATGACCTGCCCTGCCCCCTCTCTGTTGTCGTCCCTCGTCACTAGCTAACATTTAGTGAGGCGGGTTTCATAATAATTTAAATGCTCGGCACACAAAGTGACATTGCAAAGACAAACAAAGGTCAAACAGAGGCTACTGTTGCTGCTGCGGCTGCTTTTACTGCGACTGCTCCTGCAGCTGGAAATGGCTACGTGACATGACGCAGTGCAATGGCTCGCATTTAAATCCAAGCGCAGTAGCAACAAAATTAGCACGACAAAGGGACTTGCCAGCTAGATGGTTAGGACTGGGTGCTGTGCTGAGGAGCAGCTGGTTGAAGGGGGGTACTTGAGGCAACTGGGCGTAGTGCAGTTAATTTGCCATTGCAAAGCAACAGCAAACGCTGAGCAAATAGCAAACGAGCCGCGTCAACAGCAGAAGCAGCAACAGGAGCAGGTTCTCTCTCTTTCCCTATGCTGAGCCTGTGCAACTGCCTCCTGCCTCCTGCGGGCTGCCCGCTGCCTGGACAAACGGATCAACAACTAAGCAAACAAATGGCGTTGCAATTGAGCACGTTTTGGGCAAAGCGCTCGAAATCACAGTCAAACGTCGTAGCCCAATGGAAATGAACTGCGACACGAACTGGACACAGGACACAGGAAAAAAAGGACACGGACACACCAGACTCCACTCAACACAACCGATCCGACAACTGAGCTGAACTGAGGATAAGCTGGTTGGGTCATGCAGAAGCCGGCTTCAATTCAACGTACGTGTGGCTAATGATGTTGCAGTCAGTTACAGGCAGACATTCAGATTCAGCTTTCGATTCGGATGCAGATGTGAATGCGAATGCGAATGCGATGCCTTGACTTGACTTGGCGACGTGTCGGCTGGGCCAATGGTTACGCACAATTTGATTGGAAAATGTGGGCAGCAATAACTAGAAACTGAACCACTTAAGTGCCCACAAGTTAAAATGTCACATGGCAGAAAATACGCATACGCACCGTATGCCACAAATAAGAAACTACGAGCTGTGCCAGTCACAAAAGCCAGCACTAAAAGCCAGCTAAACGTTGCCAGGCAAAAAATAAATAGAAAAAGAATACTGAAAAAAAATAGATGTAAAATTAAGAAACAGAGGACAAGAGCAGCTGCCCAGGCGAGCGTCCTGCTAGCACAGGCCCGAGGACTTTAGGTAAACCATACACACACACACGCACGCACACACACATATACTACAATACAACTAAAAATGTTCTAGTTAGGAGCGTCCGATAAAAAGATACCCTGTGCAGAGGCTTAATAAGGATTCGCAATGGCAGCTAGGCTACTCCTTTCACTCAAAAATGTATTCTAAAATAACTTCCTTGTTTATTGTCTATTATTGATGGAATATAAATACTGCATTGAAGTGTGTGGTAATACAATATTTGGTATGTCTACATCTCTGGAATTCAACTCTTTTGTGGCTTGAGGGGCAAGCTTACCAAAAATATAAATATTCATCAATTCCGTATTTAAGAAACGAAAGGACATATACAAAACTGGGCATCACAAACTTTTCTTGTTTTCGAGATATGCGCCAAGAAACTAGGCTGCAAATCGTTATATATATCGACTTCTCATAAACTATCGAAAAGCCTGTCATATCTAAGATAAGTGCCTGACAGACAAGTCCGCATGGCTTTATAAACCCAGCTCGTCATCCTGATCAAGTGCATGTACACTTTATGGGAACGAACATGCTTTTTTCTGCCCCCCTTAAATAAATTTGCACAACTTCATTATACCTATTTTTTTTTCGTGCCCATTTTCAATGGGTACAGGGTCTCTAAAAAGGGAGAGAAAAAAAATATAACGAAAGCAGGATGAAACTTTTTGCTTTAGTTAAGAGCAACAGACGGCTACGCCCGGTCTGCAATGGCATAAAAGAAACATAACTAATTTGCATAAAATGTGAAAAACATGCTGCCCATATAGAGCCAAGCAACGCCCAGAGGCGGACTCTACGGGCGGACTCTACGGGCGGTTCGGTGGGATCCCGGCCTGCTGCCAACTTCTCGCCGTCCAAGCGAGGAAATCGAGGAAAAGTCGTAAGTGAAGAGTTGCGCGTGCTGGTCCGTAGTGCAGGTAAATTTGCAGACTACTTTTGGCAAACAATTTTACCCAAAAGTAGTGAGCTAAATGAAAGCGCCACGCCCCCTCCACATACACTGCACGCCCACCGGTCGGCAAAACGCCCCAACCATACACTTCAACTAACTTGTATATGCGGCAAAACAAAAGATATTTTTGCATCACAAAGTGAAAGTTATGTGTCTGTGTGTGTGAAGGGGTATGAGTGTGTGTGTGTGTGTGTATGTGTCGTTCCCTCATATTAGCGGTTTGTATCTTTTGCAGCATGACCACGTTGAGACAAAGTTCTAGGCCAAATTGTCAGAGAACAATGTGCAAAGTGTGTCCACTCTAAAGTGTCCTGTGAGTGTGGGGGCATATGTGTGTGATGCTGCGTGTTTAAGTGCGCTCATGTGTCCAACTATGCATAAGAAGAGAATCTTTGTTGGGTATTCGCTTTGAAGTAAGAGTTTCAAGTGAAATCTGTGATGAAAAGAGTTGCCACCCTGACAAAAACTGAATTCGTTGAAATATGCGACAATTCTTCTTCTTCGCTTCCAGTATAACAAATTCCGTTGTCCCAATGAAATTGCTTGCTTTTCCATAATACATGCCAAATTTTTAAGCCGTACAATACGTGCATGAAAAAATGTATTAAAAGATGCAAAAATTCAATGGATTTTTTGTATTTTGACATAAGTATTTTATACAATTTAGTTCTGAAGCTATATGACAAAGGGTTGCCAGAGAATATGCATACGATTGCAATCCATTTTTTTCTTTGATCAAATTCCATTATGTTTCGCTGATAATGCTTTTGCTTAGCATGCAAACTCTTTAACAGAGAGTTGCTACTCCCATAAAAAGTTACAATTCCAAACTTTTGTGCATTTGTTCAATTTTTATACAATTTCTGTGCCCACACGAAGTTAAGCGTAAAGTCAAGAAAATTCACATAAAAATTGCATAATACTATAGAATTTTGCATAACCAGTAATAAAAAGCTGTTACATCCATACAAAAGTCATGTAATCATCATTCTCTAATTTAAATTTATTTTTAAATGCCACTTTTGTTTTTTTACAGACTCGAAATCATTTATATGCTAACGTTGCAATGTTTTTTTAATAACTTTTGTTTATTTTTAATATTTATATTATATACCTTGAGTCGAAACCCTTTACTAATTCAACTTTTGTGCATTTGTATTCTTTTCAGTTTGGTGAACCAATCGATGCCGGAAGCGGGCAAAATACGAATGATGGTGGCTCGGGCATTGCGCGTGTGGGAGAATAATTCCAAGTTGACATTTCGCGAAGTGTATAGCGATCAGGCGGATATACAAGTTCTGTTTGCACGGTGCGTATAAAAGAGGGTTGTGCAAGAGTGGGCTACGGGGTGCGGGGTGCGGGGGGGCTGTGTATTGGGGCACCTCGTGCAGACCATAAAAAGAAGCATTCTTTAATGCCATAAAGATGGGCAGCGTGGGCAAAAGCACATAAAATTGCACTTAAAACCAGGCAACGATAAATAAGCCAAGTATTAAACCATGAAACCAATGCTGATGATGATGATGACGACAACGTGGGATTGACTGGAGTTGGGCTTGGATGCAGCCCGACTGCCAATTTCAAATCAAAGAGTTTATGTGTGTGGGTGTGTGTGTGTGTGTGTGTGTGTATTTTCTTAGATAAGCTGCGCATAGGATTTATTATATTTGCAGCCTCGTAACTTCGATGCCATTGAATTGACTAATCAAAGCTCCGCCACAAGCAACTGCCAACTCCATAAACAGCTGCGCTCATCAACTGCCAACTTCTTTTTGCTCTTTTGCAGGCGCGATCACGGCGATGGCTATAAATTCGATGGACCCGGCCAGGTGCTGGCGCATGCCTTCTATCCGGGCGTGGGGCGCGGCGGCGATGCGCATTTCGACTCGGAGGAGACGTGGGAGTTCGATGCCAGCAATGATGATAGTCGTGGTGAGTGGGCGGCAGCTGCTGCTGCGGTCGCTAAATTTAGTTGGCAGACGCAATGCATAAATTATTAACATTAGAAAATAATGCACAATAATAATAATAATAATCATCGGCAGCCGCAGCCGCAGCCACAACAGCTGTGGATGCAGCGCCTGTTGTTGCGGTCAGGTCGTGGCTAAAAGCCTGCGGGCAAATTGCAGGCGCCAAAACCGCAGCCGATGCCCCGCCAGGAGGCAGCTCTGCCAGTTGCAAGTGGCAAAATCAATAAACGTTGCATACGCAACGGCGCACGGACCCGCGACTGGCGCCGGCTGCCTGCATGCGTTTTGTAATTTAGCGCTATAAATTGTGACCCTAGCAACAGACCCAAACCGTAACCCCAAGCGGACCCCAGCCAGAATCCAGTGTCGACATTTTTAATGGTTTTTAATGCCAATAAAAAATTGTCAGCATGACGCGTGACGTTGGTAAACACTGCAAGCGAACAATCTTTCAATACCCTGTAAACATAAAATCCATAAAGTATGCATGATAACACATAACTATCTGCAGCTTCGTTTAAAAAGAAAAAAGAAGAACAAAAGCTGTTAATCTACTTTCAAGAACATGATAAAGTTTGGTCGTGCTCAGGCGAATTCGAACAGTTTTTCAGGTTGATTTGCCTTGTGCCCAATCGACCATTTCTTCGACCTGTTTAACTAAATTTTACTAAGCCCGCAACGCTGGCATTACAGTCAATGTATTGGGGATTCGTTGCCTTAAGCTAAAATCCACCCTAAACTACTCTTTATCTCCCTATAGAATATCTCAAAGTCGAGCTTACCCGCCTCTTGCCCTGCAACTTGTGTTTTTCATTGTAAATGTTGCAACGACGCCATTTTTATGCCACTTACAAAGTCGTCAAGACGACGGACGCGTTGTTGTCTTTTAGCCCGGTCGCTGCTGCCATTAACCAATCGCATGTTCTTCCATTTTTACAGGCACCAACTTTCTGAATGTGGCGCTGCATGAACTGGGGCACTCGCTGGGCCTGGGCCACTCCTCTGTCTCGGATGCGGTCATGTTTCCCTGGTATCAGAACAATGAGGTCGATGGCATATTGCCCGACGATGATCGGAATGGCATACAGGAGCTATACGGTGCCAAGGATAAGGTTTGGGGACCGTATCGACCACAACCGACCACCAGCACCAGCACAACAACAACAACAACAACTACAACGATGCGCTCGCTCACTTACTATCCACAACAGCGGCCCAACTATAACAATAACTATCCGAACTATTATCCCAACTATTATCCAAATAGAGATCGCACGCGTGATCGAGAGCGTGAGCGTGAGCGTGAACGTGAGCGCGAAGAGCGACAGCGTGAACGAGATCGACAACGTGAGGAGCGAGAACGAGAGCGTCATCGAGAAATAGAACGAGAACGAGAGCGTGAACATGAGCGAGAACGAGATCGTCAACGGGAACGAGAACGAGAACGAGAACGCGATCGACAGTCAACAACAACAACAACAACAACAACAACAACAACAGCTCCAATAACAACGAGAACGACATTAGCAGCGAGAAGAGCAGCAGCCACACATCCAACTCACAGACCATACAACTATCCCACTGTGCATCGGCACAATAAACCGCACAAACCACGCAAACCGAAGCCAGACAGTTGCATGACCAGCTACGATGCCATCTCCATGATACGCAGAGAGTTGTTCATCTTTAGAGGACAGGTGAGTGACAAAGTGAAAGATAACGTGTGCCATTTTATATAATTATAAAATATATATAATATTTTAGCCAAAAACTTAAATAGCTATTCTTGCTCAAGAAGCACGCATTCATTATTTTTCCTGAAAAGATATAAAAAAAATTTTAATTTTTCTTAAATCTTGAAATTTGTTCCCTAAAAAATAAAAATTCAATTCATTAATAAAATAATAATCGTTTTTCAAAGAATGCACTTTGAAGCATTTAAATAATGGAAATAACATAAGTACCTAAAAAGTTTCTCGATTTAAGTGAAAATGGGTTCTTAAGATTATAAGATATATATTTATATAAATAATAGCCATATCTAGAAGCTATTGACTAGAAAAGAATCCTTTTTTATTATTCTGACAATGCAGCTGATATATCTTGCATATGCCTTTAATATTATCTCTTATCCTTGCAGTTCCTGTGGCGCATAGGTGCTAGGGGCTTATACAATGGCTACCCGACGGAAACCCGACGTCACTGGGCCGCACTGCCCGAAGACTTCAACAAAGTGGACGCGGTCTATGAGAATCAACAGCGTCAGATTGTCTTCTTCATAGGTGAGCAGCATTCGAACTCTACCTTGACTAAACTCTATTAAACTATATACCAATTGCCCTGCAGGTCGACAGTATTACGTCTTTGATTCGGTCACCCTGGCGCCGGGCTATCCTCAGCCATTGACCAGCTTGGGATTACCGGCAACACTCACCCATGTGGATGCAGCCTTTGTGTGGGGCTACAATAATCGCACATATTTAACCAGTGGCACGCTGTACTGGCGCATCGATGACAATACGGGCACGGTGGAGCTGGATTATCCGCGCGACATGTCCATTTGGGCGGGCGTCGGCTACAATATCGATGCAGCATTCCAGTACACAAACGGCAAGACCTACTTCTTCAAGAACTTGGGCTACTGGGAGTTCAACGATGATCGTATGAAAGTCGCACACGCTCGCCCCAAGCTCTCCTCCCGCATGTGGATGCAGTGCGCGCGCAACGTCAACGATGTCGACGAGGAGCAGCGCTGGACGGCGCCACTGGTATCCGGAGCCAATGAGACGACAGATGGCAGCTCTGCGGCGGCCAGCCCGAGTCAGCAGCGGCATAGTATAATGGGCTTACTTCTAGTTGCACTCACCTGCTTAGCCTGGCGTAGTTAAGAGTGGGAATGCAGTTGATCTATAAAAGTTTAGGCATAGCTTTAAGCTAAGTTTAAGGCAGAGGTTCTCAAAACATTACGTCTAACGCCCATTATTTTAAAATATTTCCTCTACATTATCGCATCTTAATAATCACATTAAACTATAGAGTCTTATCTTGTTTCTGTGCCCTTTACCGCCCATACACGTGTTGGCGGTATCGTTCGCTTTAAGAAAGACTATTCCCGCCCATCAGACATCCCCATATATATATCTATATATATATATAAATATAATCTATATACGGTGTGCATAAAAGCTCTACTGTCAGACAGTAGATCGCTTCAATCTGCACCCAGAAGATACAACACGCAGCGGCCTTACAAATCTTCTACATGAAACTCATCACTTGTGAAATGCATCCTGTATGGATAAAAATACATAAAAAGAAAAACTATCTAAAACTTGCCAGACGCCATATATGCAACAGAATAACAGGATTGCTTATTTTCGTAACGCATCATATATTTTATAAAGTTACGAGTTCTATGCATGATAATCTATAGATATATAGTTTTATACCGAATCCAGATGAGAATTTCTCGAATTTTCTCAGCCACCACTGCCTTATATAATTAAGTACAGTATTGCTTCATATGAACGAACCGATTGGCCCGAGCCTAGTAGCTATGATCTGCCCGCATTTGTTTTGTGTTTTTATTTTGGTTGTATAAAAAAAAAAAAAAAAACACCTTTCTAATTATTTATATTTAAATAATTGTGGGATTCCTGAAACTGATTTAGATGTGATCTAGATTTCGTAAAAGCAAAATAAGCTAAGGCGCGAAAGCACAAAATACCGAATTAAAATGTGAAAACTATTTTTAAGCCTTTTAATAATAACTTTTTGCTTGGAGAGTATTTAGCTTTTTATTTTTTTATTTATAATGTTTTAGCTGCAATTTTAACATTTTCAGCTCCCTTTCTATCTCCATTTCCTTTACTTCCACAATAAATAAATAATTATTGAACTAAAACTTGAAATATTGAAATGACATCAGAAAACGGTCTGCCAAGCAAGCAAACGAAGTCCAATCTAAATCAAATCTAAATCACCTTAAACTGATTTTGTTCTCTTTCAATGTGACCTCAATTTCCGTATGTTTTCTGGGCACACTGCACTTTTGAATGGAGAAGTTGTGAACAACTGATCAACGAAATCTAAAGCAAATCAAAACTATTTCAGGAATCCCACTAATGTGATATTATAATAAAATTGTATGTGTGCGATTCAACAATGAACCATAAAAAAAAACAGGCAAGAACAAAACCACTTATAAACAATTCGAGTTATAACATTTATTAGAAATATATTTTGATAGTATTAGTTCATTACATCTGTATATTTGTATCCTTTAAAAAAAAGCCCATTTAAGCTGAATAAATCCTTTCATACATATTTTGGTGAGATAAATAAATGCAGTCGTTTGCGAAATACACTGGGAAAATATTTGTATATCTCTTTACTCGCTCACATTTTATAACTCTATAATTATACGTTTTTTCAACTTACAAGAAGGAAAATCTGAAGATCATTATAAAAATGTCACCTTATAAAATTACTTAAAATTAAAAAAATCCTTACTGGACCAAGAAAGAGTGTTTTGTAAATGATCTTGGGCTAATTTATATCCTCCTAAGGCATTTAGAGGCAAAATTTAAATGATAAATAATTTTTTAGTACATCATTCGAAAATCATAAAATAAAGTCCGCAAATGATCCTATAATATTCAGAATTATCAGAAACAGTTTGTTTTGATCATTGTGGATAGTTCTTAGAAATCCCATAATTATTGACTGCTGATTGATATAGTTGGTTCTTGGGATCCCACTGACTGTTTAAAGATGAGAAGGAATTATTTCATTGAAAGGGATCTACTTCCAATGTAACTATTAAGTATTCTCTGATATCGCTTGATGTATGACAAAAAACTATAATCTATGATGTAATCTGGCAAGCATATGAAAACCATTTCGATATCGTGTTTGGTTTACTGTTTATATCAAAGGTGAATGATAACAGAGTGCACAGATTGTGCAGTAAAATGATTCGTCAGCTTTGACAAATCAAATTGCTTTTGTATCGCTTCATGACGAGTTTTACGATCTTTTCAATTTATGTGAAAAATAACTTAAGTACGGCGCCTATTTTTCGAGGTAATGAAGCTTGTTGTCAAACTCTGAGTATTTTATGTCTGTTGGCAAGTTCCCTGTGTTTTATATATTACGAAAAGCTTTATGAACGAGTATCTACTAAATACGATAACAAATGATAATTAGTTGGACTACGTAAAAATGTAGCAAGCCAAAAAACTCTATTTAAGTAAAAAAAAAACAGATGTATCATGTTTAACGATAATGCCCTTATCTAGCGCTATAGACAGGTAAATAAAAATGCTTTAGATATATATGTATATATAGATAAATATATACGTATATATAACCGATAACTGATAACTGGGGCTGTGACAGTCAAACAATTGAAGCCGGAAGAGAGTCAAAAAATGTGTTATTTATAGATCTGCATGGTACTCTATAATTGGTAAATATTCACGGATTGAATATGTTGAGCCCTGCCTGCTGTAACTGTTCGAGTGATAGCTTTATAATGTCCACTTAAATGTTACATATATAAAATTACAGGCTTTTGTTATCTTATCTTTCGTTTAATGTCGTTTGACACAAGGTGCTGAATTATTATTGTAACAATCGCTCGGCAGACACAGAACAGAGCAGAAGCTCAAATTCTCCCGCTCAGTCGCACTCGGGGCTTCAGTCTTTCAGCCAGCACTTGTGTGATATATTCAATATTGTCATTATTGTCCATGCGTCATGGCCCGTGACGACACCATCAAGAGAGTGTCCCGAAACCGAGTCCCCCGAGCCCGAGCCCAAGCCCGAACACGAACACCCAAAAATCAGATCCAAAAACGCCAATCGCACAACCGGAGCGTTGACAGTCGCGCATAGACCACAGTCGTGGGCAGTAGCACAAAGTGGTTCAATATTTAAATACGGACTTAAATTACACGGCTATCCAAATCTATGTGCATACACCTACACAGCAATACGTACGTCGGCCCAGATACATATATAAATATATATACATATATATAAATTCATATATATAACTGCTTATATTAAATTAGAGACAATTGTGAGTAGAGGTCGAGCAACAGTGGAAATTGTACAAAGCTTTGCGCCGCCTAGTTAAAGACAAGTCAAGGCCCACACCTACTATATATATATATATATATAGAGATATAGATATCGCTTAGGGCTGAACTCGACCGGCATTGATAACGCCCACCTTGTCTTGGCTATGACTAGGCCCAAGCAGGCAGATAGTTGTGCCTTAAGCAAATGCTATTAACTGTGAACGCAGAATCTAATCAATAGTGCTTAATGTGTGGTGTTGGCTCCAAGGGCTTGTCCAATCTATGACGAATCTGGTTCGTTAAATTCTAGCACCTGGTTGCCTTAGTCCATATCTAATCGCTGCCCGCAAAAACCATGACAGCTTCAAATTGCCCGGAAGTTCACTTTTGACTATTATCTATCGATCGCCTAGAACAAATTTCAATAAATCAAAACTCTATGTGTATTATCAGATAAGTGTGCCCACCCAAAAACCGTACCGCCAAAATCATGTCGACCAATCAGAGCAACGAAGATAATGCCATACGTCCGCTGTGCGCTGAGCTGGCGCTGAAGGCGCAACAGGAGCTGGGTGAGGTGCCCGAACGTGTGCCTGAGGACATCGAGACGGTGCGCACATGGATCTCAAAGCAGCCGCATCTGAAGGCACGCCAGGATGCGCAATTTCTGGTCGCCTTTCTGCGCGGCTGCAAATACAGTCTGGAGAAGACCAAGCTCAAGCTGGACAATTTCTACGCCATGCGTGGCGCGGTGCCGGAGCTGTACAAGAATCGTTTTGTGGGCGAGAAGCAACTCAACATCATCAAAACTGCGTAGGTTCTGTTAAGACTAGAAATCTTGCCAGTTTTCATATATTTTGCATCCCTGCAGCTGCCTGCTACGTCTACCCCAACCACTTCAGCTGGACGGTCCGCGCATACATATCTCACGCTATGGCCAATACGATTCCAACAAGTATTCCATTGCGGAGGTCATGCAGGTTAACACAATGCTCGGCGAGATCCAAATAAGAGAGGATGACAATGCGATGGTCTGTGGTTTTGTGGAGATTATTGACATGAAGGGCATTACCACCGGCCACATGTTCCAATTCGATGCCGTGCTGATCAAGAAACTGGCCGTGCTGGGCGATAAGGCGCTGCCCTATAGACCCAAAGGTTTCCACTTTATCAATGCGCCAACCATGGCCGAGAAGGCAATGTCCATAGCCAAGAGTTTAATGAGCGACAAGATACGCAAGCGGGTAAGTCGAAATATCAATAACAAATCGAATGATTATTTCTATCTATATATGTATAAATCCTTCTCAGTTCCATATACACTCTAAACTGGATACACTTTATAAGCACGTGCCCAAGGAATGCCTGCCCATTGAATACGGCGGCACCAATGGCAATATACAGGATGTTGTCGATATCTGGACGCAAAAGCTGTTGGACTATACGGACTTCTTCCAGCAGGATGCGATATATGGTACAAATGAGAAACTGCGACGCGGACAGCCCATTAATTCCGAAACACTTTTCGGCATCGAGGGCTCCTTTCGCAAATTGGACATTGATTAGTTTATACATCTGATACTAGTACATATTTTAACAATAAATAATTATTTTTTTAATGTCGTAGCAAAAGAAAAATCGATTAAAGCACAAACAACAAGTAGGTTAATTTAAAAAAAAGAAAGATAGAAAAACCAAAATAATATTAACTGGGCAGTATATATAATTCATATGCAGTCGTAAAGGGCAAAGGCCAAGCAGAGCTGTCTGGAACAGCTTAAATCTTAGCCCGGACTGGCTGCTTGGACTTCTTCTGAACAAATTCATAGGCCACATCATGATAAGGCTGGGCCGCATCGCGCACACGCTGCAACCATTTGGCCACCTTGGGAAACTGTCGCTCATTTACATTGAACTGGCAGAGCTCTGGAAATTATGATAAGGCATAAGGTGAAGCCTAGCGGCGAACCTGTTGATACACTTACTCAGCTGTTCGATTTCGGAGGCGCCTAATAAATCGGCAACGGTCAGCTTATTTCCGACCAAGAACTCCTCCTTCATCCAGAGGTGCTCCAACGCACCCAATGAGCCTTCAACATCTTTCAAAAGTTTTTCGGCCACCTCTGGCTTAGGCTTAGCGGCCAGTCCATTGACGGGCAGCAGCCAGCCCTTGATGAAGTATGTGCCACAGGGCACACGGACATTTATATGCTGCCACTCCAAGCACTCATCCACACGTGCACGTGCCTGCAGGCCTTTCGGATAAAGCTGTTCGCTCAGTTGGTTTTTATCCGAGAGATAGCTGCAATGATGCAAGTTATTTATATTATTTTCAAATGACCTTTGGCACTTGGTGCGAAGACATACCGTATCATGGCCACGCTCTCGGATAGATGGAAATCGCCATCCACCAGTGCCGGCACCTTCTGGAGGCGATTGATCTTTTTGTACTCATCGGTCAATTGTTCGCCTGCAACAACAACAACAACAAGAACAACGAAGTCGAGTTTGATTTGCCGGCCTGCGGCGTCAGGTGCAGTTGAACTCACGTTTGCGCAGCGCCACGGGGCAGTCTTCGAATGGGGTTTTACACAATTTGAGCGCCAGCCACATTGCACGCGATGGCGGCGACAAAAAGTCATAATATAACTTAATAGCTTGTGCCATGTTGATGAATTGAACCGGACAAATTTCTTCGCGGCGATCAAATCAGCTGCGGTACAAAGTCCAAATTACCCTGCTACACAACACTAATTCGTATTAAGGCCGTTTGTTAGCACTGCTGTTGCGCACCTATAGAGCTGTCTCGCTCACACCTATAACTAGCTATTTAAGAAGTTGCGCGCGTTCAATTAAAATTTGAAAGGCAGAGTAAAATATGAATTCAATGTACAATACATTCCTACATCTAAGCTGACATAATTTGTCATTTAAAAATGTCAAATTTTGGCATTTCAAATATGAATAAATGGATTTTGTCGCTTAGTTTTAAACATTTTATCAGCAACCTTGCCTTCGCGTAAGCCTTTATCTAATGCATAGATAATATCGCAACATAAATGCCAAGGTGCGACACGTCATCGGCGCTTATCAGCTTGTTATTTACAAACGGTTACTATATATATGTATATATCATGGTAAGAATAAATGGAAATATCAGTTGGATGATATCTTTTTGCGTTTCAAATGTATTTTGTTTGACATTTAAACAAATTCGCTTTAATTTATTAACGTATTCAACATGGGTCGCTACAATACACCGTCAATTATATATGTAGTGTGTATGTACTATATATATATATATATACTATATATATATATATATATATATGTTTAGGAATATGTATATGTGTAAACTAGTATCAAAAATTAGTAGAAACGACACTTAACGCAAAAATGATCGAAAAATTAGATATTTATATATGTATGTATGTATATGTATTAAAATAAAAGACAACAAGAACTTAGCATAGTATATAAGTAGAAGACGTCCATTGTAAGCAAAATGTGGCGAGAACGATTTGGGGGCGACTAACCGTAGACATGGGGGTATGTGCGTTGATAAGACCGACAATAAATTATAATCGACATTCATGAGGTTTTTGCCATTTGATGGCGTTTTTTGTTGTTTTTTCTTTCTTTCATTATTTCTTTTTTTTAGTGTGCACTTTGTTTTAGTTGTAACATTGTTCAATTTGCTTTAGGTTTCGATGTTGCTTTCTATCAATTGTTATAAAATATCAGGTTCAGCTATGTCCCAAAGTTCGCTGTAGTATGGATGGGGTATGTATATATATATATATATATGTAAATATAGAGAGAGGTGTGTATAGTATGTGCATCTGAATATACAACTAACTGCCACCGCCGCTGTCACAGCCTCAATCAAAGGTCAGCTTGCGAAAGGCGCCGTCCTCATTGGCGGACCCGGCGACCAGTGTAGGGCGCTGCTCCTTCTCGCTGGCAGCCCGCAGCTTCTCGTCAACACCAAAACGCTCCTCATCCTTGAAGTAATTCGTAAAGCTGTTCAGTTGCAGCTCATAGCGTGTGATGGCTTCGTTCAGTGAGCCATTATTGCCGCCCAGCTCCGCCGGCAGATACTCTTTGCCAATGGCCTTGTACAACGACTCCAAATTGGGATGTATGTGCAGCTAAAGCAAAATAATTGAATGAAAAATAACGAACGATTTTTTTTATATGTTCCTTTTGCTACGCACCAGTTCCTTCTGTTTCATAACATTGCGGATTATGGTGAGCACAAACTGTGTTTCTCGCGAGGCATTCACAATGTGCGTGGCTACTAAGCTCGTGGGTAAACCATGCTCGAGGAAGGCATTCATGCGCTTGAACAAGCTGGGATCGAACTGCAGCAGCAACGAGTAAGGTATTTTAGTAAAATCAATAACCTCCACAACGCCGGCAATGTTCCAGTTGTCGTCGGTGTTGATCTCAATTTCAGAGCGGAAGGCATGGAAGCGAAAAATGTCGGAAACGCTATGCTTGGAAGTCTCTATGTGCCCCATGCGTGTGTAATGGATACGTGGACCGCCTGGTCCAATGGGATTGGGTAGTGTAGCAAATATACTGCAAAATGATGAAATCAGAAATTCAATTATATCGTTAATACATACTCTTGACGCTCTCTGATCTCACCCTGATCTGGCCAGCTCGAGGACCTTGTCATCTACCGAGCGACACTTGAGTAGGCTGCGTTCCTTGGACTTGTAGTTGTAGAAGAAGAGCACACGCTTTTTGGCCTCCTCCAAATCCCATTGACAGAAACGCAGAAATGCGACCAGAAACTGATCTTCGGTGCGCGCCACCAGATAGTTCTGCTCATCGATCCAAGTGCGCAGGGCCACAATTAACGCATCTCTGTTCGCCTCATCCTCGTTCAGCTCCGAGCGCGCCACTTCCGCCAGCTCTGGCACCAGCTCTCTTATTTTGGCCATAGTGTTTTGATAACTGCAAATTTGATTATCAGAACTTCAAGTAATTGTGACAATGTGTACTCCTGGCCAGAAAGGTGTTGGATAGACTTGTGTGCTCCGTCTAGGTTCAAACACAACTAATAGCAAACTCGTTGCCTGCTTCGAGGTGGCCAGCACTTGGCAAACAAGTGTACACTAAACTAGCAGAAGCTACAAGGCGATATTGACATGGCCAATGTACAATGGGACAGACCGTTAAAATTTCACTTAAAAAAATATCAAGTAGTTGAGAGAGCATATACAAAAAAAAAACAGAAAATTTACTTTAGCGGCTATGCTCGTTCTTATAATTTGTTATTTTGAACAAAGAAAATCCTAAAGATATACGAAAATCGTATTAACAACCCCTAATTAAAAGCTTTACGACCTTAAATTAATACAACTATAGATTACGAAAGAATGATTTAGCATAAAACTTTAAAAAATATATAAAGATTGCTATATTAAGTCTATATAATTCTTCCCAACAAATCAAATTGACAGTTGATGCTTTTTCAAATTATTCAGCAGTTGCTCTCAAATTTCAAGCATTTAATTTGGTCTTTTAATGCAATTTTTAAAAATTTTAAATAGCGTCTAATTTTACTTATTTCAGTTTATTTTTAATAACATAGGTACGTAGTAGTTTCACAATAAGGTTTTCTAAGCGCACATTTTGCCTGTGAAACGTGCGATTTGGTGCCACTGTGCAGCGACAGTTTGGCGATAAGATAAGCCTTTAGGCAGATATAACTGTAGCGTGGTTCGATTAACAGACAGATATCAGCAGAAGCGAACTTTGCTATGCGCCTTTTGCAGCTGCATCGCCTCAGCAGCGATTCCAACTTCGTGGAGCCCCGTAAAGCTATCGCCAACAGCTGCAATCTTATTTTTGACAATTAACAATTAGCAAGCATGATTTTCTAACACTTTTCTCAATCTAATCGATAGCAGCGACCTGTACAGTGAGCATTCAGAGTGCAGCAGCACTCGAGAGCAGAACAGCGGCGAGCATTATCAAATAGCCAAATGAATGGGCCCATAAAAGCGCAAGATTAGCGCCAACTGATTAAAGGCCAAAGGAGAATGGGCCTGTTTCAGTAGTCGCACAGTTGCCACGAGACACGGTCGAGTTTTGGTCTAGATGCTGGTTATAGCCGAGTTTGTACGTCCACTCAGCGCCGAGTTGCGCCACATTGCTGAGACGGAGCTAAATGAGGTGGCGGAACGTTTGCCTGCGGATCTGCAGGCTCTGCGGGATTGGCTGGCCAAGCAGCCGCATCTGAAATGCCGCCAGGATGCACAGTTTTTGGTTGCCTTTCTGCGTGGCTGCAAATTCAGCCTGGAGAAGGCCAAGTCCAAGCTGGATCATTTCTATACCATAAAGACCATGATGCCCGAAGTATTTGGCAATCGTCAAATGGATGAGCGTAACATTGCGCTGTGTCGCACGGGGTAAGTCACAAAGTGCTGACCAGCTCAACATAAGCCATGCAACGTTCTCTTTATGCCACCAGCACATATGTGCGGCTACCCAAACCCTTTGGCCCCGCCGGACCACGCATCACGCTAACGGATTACTCCAAATTCGATCCTAAGATCTTTAAAATGCTCGACCTGTTTCGCTATCAGACGCTGCTTATGGAGCGCCAGATACGCGAGGATGACAATAGCATCATCAGTGGCTACATTGAGATTCTCGATTTGTCCGAGATGAGTCTCAGCTTTGTGGCCCAAATGGACTTTTCGCTCATCAAAAAAATGGGCGTGTTTGCGGAAAAGGCGTCGCCAACGCGCATGAAGGGCGTCCATTTGGTCAACTGTCCCAAGGAGGCGGCTGCTGTGCTCAACCTGGCCAAGAGTCTTATGCCCACCAAGCTACAAAATCGAGTGAGTCGCGGGAGAGCGGGAGGGCGGGTTCCAATTTCAGTCACTAGACGATAATCCAATGCATTTGTTATCAAGCCCTTATCGGAGTTTACTCAGCTGTTCCAAACCACATTTCGTTCGATAAGCTGAAAAGCTCTTCAATCGCTTTCCAATTATAGAAAATCAATAATCGTTTCGATTAGCCCTTGTGTTACATGAACTGATATTCAAATAACCCCAATATAATTGGAGTGCTTAACTTGGGAAATTCACAATTTTATTTAAGATGCGTAATGTTTCCTTATCGACAACAAATTAGTTTTACAACTAGACTGAACAACTGTCATAAATTATTATTCCTTTAATCAGAAATTTTTAACTCAAACGTATATTTGACTAAACAAATAATTACTTCAAGAGTGACAACCAGAAGATATTCCAAAATATTCTTGATAACCGGATTTACTAGAAATGTACGACACCTTCTTTTTAGACAGCTTTAACTAGCTGATAAATCTAGAAATTTACAAGTGTTTTTTTATTTTATTTTTATTTCCACTTTATTAACTTTTATTCCTTTCACAGTTCTATGTGCACAAAAACATGGACCAACTTTTCGAGATAATACCACGCGAATATCTGCCAGAGGAGTACGGCGGCGACAATGGACGCATTGGTGATATCATTGCCCAGATGGAGCAGGAGATGCTCGGCTATAACGACTACTTGAAGGAGGAGAACGATTACGGCGTTAACGAACAGCTGCGTCCGGGCAAACGTCTAAGTCCCGACACGCTGTTCGGCATTGAGGGCTCCTTCCGTAAATTGGACATCGATTAGATTAGCTCACAACATGAACTGAAATTGAATGGGAAAAAAATTCCCGAAATTGCCTTAACTTTAAATTTAATTAAATGCCAAGAGCAAACTGAACTCAAGCCATTCAATAAGCACAAGCTCTTTGGGGGTTGAAAGCGAATAAGATGCCCTCTAACATAGGTCATTTAGAGGGTAAGGAACTCATGATTATGTAGAGGGTTCAAGACACGAGGAGGATAAGCCAACTGATTACGCATAAGGATCAGATTCAAGCTTGGCTAAAATGAGTGACAGGACTGGTGACATTTATGATAGTTTCCCGCGCTGCAATGATAATTAAAAAAAAGTACTTTGAAATATCACCCTTCTTAGCGCTTCTCATGAATTCAAGTAAGGCTTACAGGTTTTCATAGTAAGTGTTATAATATTAACAAACTGTGTTGGCAATCTAATTAACTTTATGACCCAATATAGTTTACTCTTTTCAAAATGTCGCCCTGCGCGTCTCATGAATTCAAGTAAGGCTAACCGGGTTTCCTGCTTCCATAGTAAGTGTAATATGAACCAATTGTGTTGGCAATCTAATAAACTTATGGCTTTCTATCTGATGCGCCCCTCTTCGTCTTGCTCGTTCGACTTTTTATTGATGTGTGATATAATAATATAGATCTCTCATTTTCAAAAAATAACCTATTTAAATACTTGCAATTAAATGTCTGAGAATAAAATAGAGAAGCGATGTTATAAAACTGTTTGTTTGAGAAGCGCACAGAGAGGCGGCGCCTAATGGACAGCTTGCAGAGTTGTATGTACTTACATTACTAAAGGTAAACATCACCCACGTTGACACTCAGCAAAGCGTCAAGTTCGTAAGCTTTTAGTATGCGATATCAGTGACAAGTGTTAATAGCCTTATCTATCAGTTAAGTGAATTAGACAGGATCAATAAAAATGGTCATGTAAATTTGCATGTTAGGCCAGCTGTCCAACTCAGTTGCGCTCCAGGCGTCGACTAGTTAAGAGCCAACATGACTGCATATAATTATAGCATACAGGTGAGTTTTTTGTCTACATATAAAGAATTATTAGATTTACCGCATGCTCCATACTATGTCCAAGCAGTTTGACTTTAGTCAATGGGATTTTCCTGCGGAGCGCATTTGGCTGCACAAAGCGAATGAGGAGATTGCATGGAAAATCATCTCATTCTTGCCACTGATTATTTTTGGTTTATATGGAAACTACATCCTTATCTACCTGATAGCCACGAATCGATCTCTGAGATCGCCAACGAATTTGATAATAGCCAATATGGCAATGGCCGACTTTCTAACGCTGCTCATTTGCCCTGCCATGTTTCTGATCAACGACTTCTATCAGAACTACCAACTGGGCTGTGTGGGCTGCAAGCTGGAGGGCTTTCTAGTGGTTGTCTTTCTGATCACAGCCGTACTGAATCTCTCGGTGGTCAGCTATGATCGGCTCACAGCGATTGTGTTGCCCCAGGAGACGCGACTAACGCTGTGCGGTGCAAGAATTGTGATCGCTGGCACCTGGCTGGCGGGGCTGTTGCTGGCTCTACCCTTGGCCATTTATCGGCAGTACAGGGTGCGTATTTGGCGAAACTTTACGGAACGCTACTGCAAGGAGAATATGACTGTGCTGCCAAAGTACTGGTATGTGCTGATCACGGTACTGGTCTGGCTTCCACTGGGCATTATGCTCATCTGCTATACGGCCATATTTATAAAGGTAAAAACTTGGAAAGTATACGATTATAGCTTAACTTATCTAACCACTTTACAACTTGCAGCTGGATCGCTATGAGAAGCGCGTCTTGAGTCGCGAAAATCCACTCAGTGTCAACTATAAGCGCAGCGTGGCCAAAACGCTTTTCATTGTGGTCATTGTTTTCGTGTTGCTGCGTTTGCCCTTCACCATTTTCGTGGTGCTGCGCGAAAAGTATTACAGCAGCGAGTCGAGCGTGGATTGTGGCATGAAGTACTTTTCATACTTTTCGCAGTATCTCATATTTGTCAATGCCGCCGTCAATCCCATCATCTATGGCTTCAACAATGAGAACTTCAGACGTGCCTATGCACAAATCGCATGTGTGCAAAAACGCAGAGCTGCCAACGCAAATCGAATTCATCATTGTTTGTATTGTGATTTCATTCAGAATAACAAATCTGGACAAGCAAATGCCGAGCTGAGATCGGACAAGGAGATATCACAGTCTGCGGCTAGGGAAACTAAAAAGCTGGGCGAAACATCCAATATCAATGAGACTCTCATGCCACAGCTTAATGGCGAGGGGTTTATTTAAAGTCTCAATTTGTGGTTTTTATATACGGTCTTCTATTCAGGGGTATCCCAATAATTATCTTTTTTTGTCATAATTCAAACGATTTTCATAAGAATTCTAAGTAAATACACTTCCAAAGCATTAAACTCTGATTACTTTGACAAAACTCAACCAATTTTGCTTGTGGAGTATTCATTTGTATTAGCTATCACTATCTGACTTAATAACTAAATTAAAGTACATTAATTTAATCGGAAACATTTTGAAATTTTCTATGGTAAGAGAACTCTTTTTATAATCTAAATCAACTTCAAATACTTTTTTAATTTTTTCACTGATTTTGGGCTCAAAAAAGTCTCAGGTATTTCAAAACTTATGAACCCGGAATTGTAGCGCATCTGCACAGCTGATCATGATCACATCCGCAAGAAGAAGATTCTTACACATTCTCTCTCCCTGTCGCTCTCATGGAGTTCCTGCGCTCATTCAACAGCAACTGGAGCTTTTGAAACCGTTTTAAAAGCTTCAGGTCTATAGTTAAGCGTACGACTGGGCTGTTTCAGCACGTGTTTAGCTCCGTTTCAATTAAGTATGTGTCGTTTAGTATATGTATTAATATTCGTGTGGCTAGTATGGAGGCATGGCCATGCGTTTGAGGTGCGCTTCGAGGAGAGCTATCCTGGTTACCGCATCGCCTCGGACCTGGACGCGGAGTCGCAGCGCCTGCACAAGCGCGAGATGCAGCAGTTTTTCGACAAAGGTTTTACGAATTACAAAAATGAAACAATCAAATTTTATTTACAGTCGATTTGAAAAAGACGCAGAAAAGCTCAGGCTAAACCAAACAACTCAGATTTCATATAGCCCGTGCCATGGGCCTCCAGGAACTTGATGAACTGGCCCATGTTTATGACGCCCTCCTCGCCATCGGCGACATTGAACAGCTGCTCGGTGAAGTTCTCAAAGCGGCGCTTGCGGCAGGTCTCGGTTCGCACCAGGCTGATCTTTTGCCAGCGCAGGGCTTTGATGCTTCGCCAGTATTCCTGCACTTGCTCCGGCTCGCCCTCGATGCAGATTATGCCCGGCTTGCCGGGTCTGCTGAAGCCGCTCAGCTCCAGCTGACGTGCTTGCCGTATCAGCTCCTGCCGTTTCATGCTCGACTTGATGTGATGCGAGTAAATCCAAAGGCGCTCCAGCTGTGCTGTTTTGGGCTGTGCCTCTGCCGGCTCGCCCTCTAGTTCGCTGGTCGGACGCAATATCAGCGATTCGATCTGATCTTGGAGCCAGCTGAGCAGCTGATATATATAGGGCTCCTCGGCTTCACGCTGATCCATCAAATAGTTAGCGATTTCCAGCTTTAGATGCTGCTCCTTGATCTTGTCCAGCAGCGTTGTATGTACGCTAATCATGGCCAGCTCCAGCTGCGGATACAAATGCGGCAGCTCAATGCGCACATCCACAAACTCCATGGCTGGCAAGCTGAGCCGAATGATGTACTCCAAATTGGAGCGTAGCGGCACCTGCGACTCCGTTTGCAGAAACTCATTGAAATCGGCCACGACGCCAGCGTCGAGCAGCTGCAGTTCACCAGCAGCGCAGTAAATGGAACTGAGCAGCTCCAGCTCCTCCAGCTGCTGGCCAATGCAGCGTCGATAGGCCTGCAGATCCATGGCCAATGGCTGGCGAAAATTGAGAGAGAGTTGTTTGGTTTAGTCTCGGGCATTGACAACCTCGCATTGACAACCTAAAGTCTAAAAATTGAAAGCTAGTTACTTGAAAATTAATAGAGCTCTAAGAAAGGTTGAAACTAAAAGCTCTTAGCGAATGTTAATGGTATATAAATGATTTTTATATATATAAATGATACTTATATATATACTTGTCTACCATTGGATTCTAGAAAGCTTGGGATAATATATAGCTGTAAGCTATCGACAAGTGTATAATGAACAATGTCGGTGCGTCGGTGCTTATTGTCCGATCTTTGTGAAATTTTAAGAGCTTTACAATGTCACTCAACTACTAAATCGCATTTTTATTTCTAAATTTAAATTTAAATCTTTTTCAATTTTGGGAAGATATATTATAAATTCGAGCTCCTTGGCCTGCACACAAATATCTTAGCCTTTTTAGCTATTTTTGATGGGTTCTGAGTAGATCATATATATTTTCCAGCTTCCAGTGCTTCGATAGAAGGATTTTAATTATAGTCATTTTTAAATCCAAATATTTATGAAAACAACTATTCCAAGAGTAGATCCAGTGTATAATATGCCCTTTACTCTTTCACCCAACTCAGCCGCCTACAGTTTTAATGGTCTAGAGCGTGTTGCCTCTGTTCCCGTGCCCTTTCCACTGGATATCTGTATGCTGCAGTTGCCCACTGTGAAGTATGCGACGGCTCTGCACAAGGATGCGGCGGGTGTGCGCCATTTTGCCGTCTACGTGTGGCGTGCGGCAGAGCAGGACTATGCGCTATTGCTGCAGCAGCCGGCGCCCAAGGCCGTGGCACTGGACTGCCTGGCATATGCGGGTCTGGGCTATGTGGCGCTCAGCTATAATCACACCGCGCCCGTGCTGCAGGCGCGTGACGGTTCGCCCATCTATGAGCTGTCGCCGGAGCGCGGTCTGCGCACGGTGCAATATTTTGCCGGTTTGCGATTGCGGGGCATGTATTTAAGGATAAGCAGCCAGGAGCTGACGCTGCTGCAGGCCTACGATGGTGGCGCCCAAACGGAGCAACAGCGTTGTCCCTACTTCAAGTGGACGAGCGGCACATTTCAACGCCTCGGCGCCATACCCTGCAGCAATGCCCGCCGTCTGGAGGCCTTTGGCATTGACTATGCCGACTATGTGGCGGTGGCCAATTATGCGAACGCCGATGGACGCACCTCCACGCACTCGGAGATCTACAAATACGATGCGACAGCGCGTCGCTTTCAGCTGTTCCAAAGACTGCGCAGCAACGGTGCCGTCGATGTCAAGTATTTTAGTCTGCCGGTGAATGAGGTGACTCGTCGACACTTTCTCATATTGGGCAATACGGTGGCTGCTGGAGGGGGCGGCGCTGGCGATGGCGAGGCGGATACGGTGATCTATGTCTATGATAATGGACAGTTTGTGCCCTATCAACGTTTGAGTTTCTATGCACTGGAACGTTTTTTGCCCGTGACGGTAAGTACTATACACAATGGCTGTCAAACCGTTATACTTAGTCTAACTATGCCTAGGCCAAGCATGCTGTTTTGCAAGCAAAACGGTTTATTTCATATAAATGCAAAAAGAAATAAATATATATATATATATTATCAATCCCTTTTCTCATTTAAAAACAAAGTCAAAACAAATGTTTGCAATTAAATAACGGCATACGCCACCTAAAAATAATCAGGTGAAATTAAATCACGCGTTTCCGTTCACTTGCAGCATGCGGTTTCGGAAAAGTTTCTGCTCTTTGTGGCCTGCAAAAAGCAAGATGTAAAAATCTACAACCTCAACGATTGGAAATTCGAGGAATCAACAGTGCAGTTCACCGAAGGCGCATTCAGCAGGGGCGTGGCACGCATGCGCAGCTACGAAGAGAACGAACAAAGCTACCTAGGTGAGTTATTGTGGAATCGATCATTAAAATCGATTTATTATTACCTAGCCCCCTTCTCTTAACAGTTATTGCCAATGAGAATATGGCCGCCAATGAGACTAACATATTCCAACCGCTCTACAAACAGGACGAACATGCGAATGTTCTGCGTCAGGAAATTATAGAATGGGCACGCGAGCAGACAAAAAGGTTGGAGCAAGTGAATGTGGAACATTTATTGTTGGGTCTGCAGGTGAGTTGCAGATTTCATCGATTCAGAATCCAAATTGATCAAATTTTATTCCACAGCAAAAACTCAAAAAACTGGAACAACAGAGAATGCATATCAAGCGTGTGAATACCAAGTCGGTGAGTAGCAAATAGTATAAGTTATATTATTATTATAGTTATTACAAATAGATGTCCAATAGCTTATTGTGTATGCATGTGTATATAATTAAAACTAGCATTAAATATACCATGTTTCAAATCTTTTCATAAACTAGGTGTTCAAAATTTAAATTCCAATTTATAATTGGAAGCCAATAATAGTTTCAATCTATCTTGACCCACTCAATAGCTAGTCGATGCGCAACAGAAGCTAACCACAAACTATTGGGATGCTCTGCGCTATGCGAAACGTGCTCTGGATGTGATCGAACAGGATGCAGCTCAGGCTCAGCATCATCCTGTCAAGCGGGATGCCTTGGAGCAGCCGAAAGAGCAGCACGAGTTCGATGAGATAACAGTGGGCACTTTGGTGGTGCATGAGACGTTGCGAGCGGAGCAGGTTAATGGAGTGGACAGGCATAAGCCCATCTACGAGTCGGTCAATGCCAGCAAAGTGTATGTGAGCAAAGATTACAGGGAGGCAGCCACGGATCAGCTTGTGCCCGAATTGGAGCAACTGAGCGTGCAGGAACTGCAGCTAGCAGGCAAACTCAATGGCCACAACTGGACACAGCTGCTGGAGCAAACGCTCAAGCGGCGTGGCAGCGAGGTGCAATTCGTCAAAGCGCCCATGGACATAAGCAACCTAAAGGCCGAGGCGGTGCGTGTCAACAGCAATGAGATTAACGACCGGCCGCTGGGTCAGCTTGTCTCCATCGATGGAGGCGACTACATTGTGCAGCAGGACGTGCAATTCGCACAGCCCATCGAGGTGAACCGGCTGCTCATCAATCAGCGACTCAATCAGATACACGTGGATCGCCAGCGTTTCGATGTGCTGCTTCACCAGGCGAATCACACCCAGGTGATCGAGGGTGCGAAACGTTTTCAGAATATACGAGTGCTGGAGCCCATCACGATTGCGGTGAGTGCAGAAGTCTTGTTTTAATTTCATATAAAACACGGTTAAATTATAATTTCCTTTCACTGCCAAACATTTATGGCACTATAATTAAATATTATTGGGAAATTTACAAGGGAAATAATTCGTTCCCGCATTTGGAGAAAATTTACATAAAAGTTTAGCTCATTTTAGTCATTAATCTTAACTGTATCCAAAGAATCTTCACACATAAATTTCAAACAAATTTATTACGTTACTTTAATGGAAATCAATGCCCTGTGGTCATTCTATGAATGGTGTTGAATGGAAAAAATAAATGCGTGACGAATTCGCATAGAATGATGCATTCAAATAGGGAAAATTTACAAGGGAAATTCACGTTATTTGGGTAATTTGAAAGTTGAAAGTGAAAGTTATATCCTAAATCCTTAGAAATATGACTTATGAAATATTTTTTATGAAAATGCATATATAATTTATAACTTAGCGATTCGTATATTCCCTAACAGGGTCAATTGCTGGGCAACGAGCTGCTCGCCATGTCGCCCATGAAGGTGACACATGAGGCGTTGCAACTGCAGGGCGACTATGTGATCGACGGAGACGTGACCATTGGTGAGCTGCTGCAAGTGCAGGATGTTCGTGATGCAGTCACACAGAGGTCAGCCGCCGTGATCTTGCAGCAGGCGTTGCGTGTGGATCAATCTTTAGAGAATGTGAATTTGCGCTTTGAGCAACCGCTAAGCGCCAACGACACCCAGCTAAGCTTCATCAATGCGCTGGATATGCAGGAGCTGGTGCAGCTGAATGTCGAGCAGGTACAGGTGATTGAGGGCGTCAAATTTCTGCCCCAAAGTCTAACCATACGCGATGGCTTCGGCGAGGTCAACATACTGAATGGCATCAATGTGGAGCAGCTGCCGCAGCTGCTGCTGCTCAAAAGTAGCAACCAAAGCATTAAATTCCCCATGCAGCTGGCCGGCCTGGAGGCGCCGCAATTGAATGCTAATAAACTGCTGCTAAATGGTCTGGAATTGCAGGAATATATGCGACACAGCGGCGAGCAGCTCTCCAATAATAGCTTGTACGTGGAATACCTTCAGGCCGAGGAGCTAGGCGTGGATCAGCTGCACATGCATGGCAGCATTTTTGGCCACACTTTGGACGAGCTCTTTCAGCAGGGCGCACAGCGACCGCACAGCTGGCAACTGCCGGAGCATTTCAATGGCACCATCCACGCGAGAAACGTATGGCTCAAGGGGCACATAAACAACGCGAGCGTCGCGCAGGTGGAGCAACAGCTGCAGCAATTAGCGGGCAATATTAAATACGTGGGCGACTTCACCTTTAGACATGCGGTCAACATAAGTGGCCTCAGCTTTGGCGACACTCTAAACGGGATCGCAGCTCCCAGATTGGGAAACTGCTGGCTGGAGAGCAACGAGAAGCCGCAACAGTTTACAGCACCACAAGCCCTGGCGGCTATCGCAAGCGACAAGGATGTGCTGCTCCAGGGTCGCCTTAATAACTTTACGCTGGAGCAGCTGGTCAAAGGCAGCTACAGGTTGAATGGTACGGAACACCTGCAAGCGGTTAAATTTGGTAAGAACCAGGACTTGTTGAGATATGTGCAAGCACCCTTAACGAATCGTAAAACTCTACTCAGTCAATCCCATTGTGTTGCAACAATCACTGAGCGTTGGCCGTGTGAATGGACTGCGTGTGCCAGAGGATATGCTGTATGCGCAAGGAGGCGGCATGCTGCAAGCGCCGCTCAAGATCAATGGTCAGTTGTTGGCGTCGCCGCAGCAGTGCAATGTGAGCAGCCTGAATGGCTTTCAGCTGGACGCACTGACGCATTACCTGAGCGGTGGATATGACATGCTGCACGTGGAGCAAGCACAGTTTGAGATGGCGCCCAAGTATGAAAAGCTAAACGGACATAAACTGCAGCAGTGGCTCAATGATGTGTGGCTGGACAATGAGATGGTTGAGCTGAAAGCTGTGCAACTGGCAAACGCCAGTTTCGAGGGATTGGTCGAGTTTGAGGTGAGCTAAGCGGAATTATTGCGCTGGCAAACAGTTGTGAAACAATTGCATTGCAGGGCACACTTAATGGCTTGGATGTGGAGCATGTCGGTCGCAACTATTTTAGCCGTACGCGCAGTCAGCTTCTCAATGTGGCATTTAATTTCAACCATGACGTCACTTTTGCAGAGACGCTGGCCGCCAAGCAAGTACAGCTACGTGTTAAAGATGGCGCACTTGTTGAGGGCATAGGGTAAGTGGTTTGCAAAGACTTGGACTTTAATTGGTATCATGTTTCATTGCATTTGTTTACGCGCTAAAAGCAGTTTGACATGCACTGCATACACACGCACACACGCACACACTTACACACAGATATACGTAGACAGCGTTCCCCACACCGCCCCCACCTAAAACTCACACACACACAAGGTAAAATCAGCTGTGCGCGCTACTGTATGCAGGTGAAATTTCTGTACACGTTGCAATTGGCGCTGAATACAAGCACTGTGTCTAGTGTGGGCTTAATGTAGATTTTACCTTATGTTTTGTGGATGTTAAAGTTTAAATTAAATGCACTTTCTACGGGCAGGCACAATATTCAAAGTTTCGACACTTCACGAGAAGAAAAACAATAAAGTGACAGTACCAGGGCTGCCAAACAAATGATGGCACTACAAAAAAATATCGAACTATCGAAACAATCGTTTTGCTTATGCTCAGAGTAACCGTACATTTGAAAACGCGGTTATTTTTAAATGTTAAACATTTGCCTAAATATGTGTTATATTAATAAGCTCAAATACTTTAAACATGGTATTCGCAACTGCTTAAATTCGAAATTTTTCAAAAACTTTTAACAGCAATGTCTCGGTAAATTTTGACGATTTCGTGGCAAGCACCTTGAAAACTGCTGGACCACACATCATCACAGGCCAATGGAGCTTATCGGAGGCTCTTGTTTCGGGCGATTTAAATAATGTGCTCATAAATCAATTAAATTTAGTCGATGACGTTCTACGCAACGATACCCAGGGCGTTACCTTGGTAGATGCAACTAAAAGAGCTGCCAGCGCCACTATAAAACGACTCTTCGCAACGGCCACTAGCACAGTGGCAAATGTGCCTGTGGCACACTGGATCAACGATACGGTGTACATTTATGGTAATCATAGCATTGCCGGCACAACAATACTGGAAACCTTGAATCTCTACAATAATCTGCGCGTTAAGGGTCCAGTTAATGGCATCCACTGGCAAGCAGATCAGCTGCTGCTATGCGATGGGGAGCAGCATATCGCTGGCTCGCTGCTGGTGGAGAATGCGTTGTCGGAGCAACGGCGCATATTGAGCAGCAACATTGAGGAGCTTTGGGTGGATCGTATCAATGGACTGACTGTGAACGAGCTATTGGCAAACAAGGCGCACAATCGTCCAAATCTGCATGTGGCCAGTCACTTGATCTTCACGCAGCCGCTGAGCGTGGCCAACTATGAGCTGGGCGAGGTGCCACTCGAAGGCTACAAATGGAAACGCGCGGCAAATGCTGTAGAGAATTGGCAGCAGCTGAATGCCCATGTGGCTGCAGTGCAGCAGCGTCTAGCGGGTGAGACATCCACATATATTTCAATGTAACCAGTTGCTCATGATTCCCCCACAACAGCGCCCGCTTATGTGCTGGAGGGCTTTGAGCTGCTGCAGCAGCTGCCACTAAATGCCACTAGCCAGTTGGAGATGATGCCCGGGCAGAGCTCAAATACGGATGTGCTGGCCATTTGGCATGGCAACAACAAGAAAGCGCTGCAAATGGAAGTCTATGCCTGGCAAGACCAGGAGCGGCAATTCAAGCACAATGCAAGTAAGTGAGCTATAATGCGTCTTTATTTATCATATAATTTAATGAAATGGTTTACGAACTTATTTACTAAAGTCTATGAATGAATTTCGTGAGTGGAAGGGGTAGATGGCGGGGAATATTTACGTTTAAGCAAAGCGCCTCATAATCCTGACAATACAGCTTATAAAATCACTTTAATTTATATATTTATATTTATATAAATATAAAATAAATAAGATCTGGGCTCTTTGCATGAACGTAGCAATTTATAATTAAAATGCGTAGCTGACACGAGCTCTTAGAAAAACACACGTTTCTTACACTCAACTATTTTTGCTTAGGTCATATTGTTGCCAATAGCTGATGCTTGTGCGCCAATTATAGAGTAAAAGTTAGAAATTCTAAAGCTGCTTGTTCAGTTTACGCGTGTCAAATAGCTGGCGAATTATGCCTAGAATGCATAGAATAAGTCATTGAATTAATGTTGAAACTAACCCTAGTTGAAAATGGGCATAGTTAAATATTTTAAAATCTGCTAAAAAATTATACATATATATTTCATGAATATATAGTATTTTTCCGTTTGTCCGCCAAATGAGAACAGGCTCGTGTAAACGCAAATTAAATAATATCGTTAATTAAACGGATCTCTACTTGACTATCTCTAAAATGGGTTTTTTTCTGTTTTTTTGTCCGTCAATCTTGATCAAGTTGTTACTGCTCCAGCTCGTCGCTTTGCACGTCCACAATGGCACGTAGTATGCCCAGCTCCAGTTTGGCAGCGGCACGTTGTGAGATTCGATTCATCACATTGGCCACATAGAGACCGAGTGCCTCATGGCGCGTTGAATTGCATAGATTCTTGAAGAAGGTCGGCGGCAGCGAGTTATCAAAGTTGCCCAAATTAATAATTTCCGCTGTATTATGGGAGCCGGCATTCACTTTGCTCGAGTCAAATATGATTTCGTTTTTAAAGTCCAGCTCCTCGAGGTGCGGAGAGTAGCCATTGGTGCTGGCCACCGATGTGGAGGCCATTGTAGCCCCTGTCGAAGAGTTGGCACCGCCGCCACCGCCGAGATTGCCATTGAGCTGCTGTGAGGCGGCAGGTATGGTTATGATGTTAATGCCCGGCGGCGGTGACTGATTGCTCTCACGCTCTTTCTTTACCTGCAGCAACTGAGCAGTGGTCGTGTGCACTACATTGGTTGGAGCAGACGTTGGAGTTGAAGGTTCAGCTGCTGCTGCTGCTGCTGCTGCCTGGCTGCCCTTGGGGCTAGTCTGTGTTTTCTGGAGTTTCTTTTGCGATGCCGAACTGGCGCACTCATCCGACAATTTGCGCTTCATCGAATCGGGAAGTTGGATGGTGGTGCGTACGGAGGTCGTGGCCTTATTGCTGTTCGATTGATGTTGTTGCGCCGTTGCCGCTGCCGTGGATTTGTGTCCAGCTGCGGCGCTGCTCGGCGTCTTTTTCAAGGTAATACCCTTCTTTTGAAGGGCCGCTGCCGCCACGGATACAGCATTGGCTTGTGAGTTGGTCTGTGAGCGTTGCGGATTGTTGTTGGCCATGGTATTGAGCAGCTTCTTCTCCTCGAATGCTGGACGTGGCGTATCCACAATGGGCTTAGCGTATGGTTTATCCTCTTTTTCGGGTGTGCCGCCACCAGTGCTATTCGATTTTGTGGGACTGTCGCCATCCGAGCTGGCTGAACCTGTGGAATTGGTTGGCTGGCCATATTGTTGCCGAGTCGTAGTGGCAGAGCTATCGTCATCATCTTCTTCCTGCTCCTGCACCTCCAGCATTTCATACTCCTCCACTTCCTCCATTGGCAATTGCTCACTTTGCAGACAAGAGAAACGCAATTGTTAATATACAAATATTTAAGCAATTACTTTATGTACTCACTCTTCGGTTTTGACTACCGTCTTGGGCTCCTGGTGGATTTTTTGCATGAGCCCAAACAATTTCCAGCCGGAGTTACCTTTCAGTTTCTCCTGCTCGTATTTTTTTTGCAGCACTATGAAAATGGAGCGCGACTCGTGCACAGTCAGCTTGTTGAGGCGGCCAATGCGCGCCCAGGCGTCATCCTGCTCCTGTTTGGTGGCACTGGCGTTGTTTGGATGCAGGGCCTTTTCCTTGGAAATGTCCGCCAGAATCTTGTCCAGCTGTATAGCCATTTTAGTCAGCGACTTTCGGCCTGCGTTTTGAGCGTTTTTAATAATTTTGACGGCGTTTTTATGACCACTTTTTCACTTAATTTTTGGCCCTGCCGCTCTTTTCTAGCGTTTGCGCTGTTTCTGCTTCGTTTTGCAACTTCGCTTTTTCACGTATGCGGCGTCTGCTGCGACGCTGATTTGGCGGAAAAATAATTTGATGGTCTATGCACGGTCAGACAAGATGGCTCACCACAGTATGCTCAAAGCGAATAGCATTGCCTTAACCATATATAAATCAACATGCTATTTTATCATTTATTTATTTAACTTTACTTAAAACGTATTTGACTCATTCAAACAACTTTAAAACTTATTTCATTAGCTGTGTTGGCCGACGATATGCTTGGCAGAGTAAACAGATACATATCATGCAGACTGAACGTGTTTGCTTATCACAACATATTCAAAAGCAAATGCAAAAACTTTGCATCGTTTTACAGCACTACTAAACTAACAAAACAACAGCTCAAAAGGAAATGAATAAAACTTGCTTCTAATTATATTTATTGTTTATATTTACGCAAATATAAACCAAATCTTACAATCCTACCACACTTACAACTGTCTCAGTCGGTAAACATTTAACCGTCTTCACGAGCATAGCTTGCACCGGGCTGCTAACAACAAATGGAAACTCCGGCATGCCGTAACAGGCAGCTGCATAATTTCCCAGACGATTCACAGCGATGACAGCGCCAGAAAAGTCCTTATGATAGTTTATAATACGTCTTATAGCCACATCGACGGCTGCCTCCGGTGTCTTGCCCGCCCGCATGGCCTCCACGGCCAGCAGCGAGGGCAGAAAACGCATCATAATGTCCCCATCGCCAGTGGCTACAGCGGCGCCAACTTCGTTATCCGCATAACTGCCGGCGCCGGCAATGGGTGAGTCGCCAACGCGGCCAGGTATCTTGTTTCGAGCCCCATTGGTAGAGGTACCCGTATGTATATGGTGGTCCACATCAATGGCAATCATGCCGATAGTATCGTGATGCTGCTGCCCCATCTTGTACTCAGTGCGAGCGCGATCCTCCTTCCAGCGCGTTAGGGGCGTTGCCTTGGGAACGTAGGGACCACAAGAAAGCTTAGGATCGGGATTAACGTTATGCCAGAAATTTGGCTGGCAATTCTCAGCCTTCCACTGCTGCCACATAGCTCTCGACTCGGGCGTCACCAGTGAGTCAGTGCGGAATCCCATAGCCACAGCGAAATTTGTGGCACCTTGTCCCACGAGCATAGTGTGCGATGTGCGCTCCAGCACAAACCTGGCCACTCGTATGGCGTCCTTAATGCCTATTAAACCAGCCACGGCACCCACATCCATGTTAGAGCCATCCATGACCATAGCGTCCAATGTAGTATCGCCCAGCTCATCCGGCGAACCGCCGTAGCCGACGGTGCCATCGCATTGCATCTGCTCGCACTTGGTGCAGCCCTCCACGACGGCGTTTCGTGTCTGCCTCAGACCGCCCTCCGACTGCTTGAGTATGCGCCAGGCCAGCGCATTTGCGTCTCTGAAGTTCCATGTATTGATCACCATTGGTAACAGTGATCCCGATCCGCTTGATTGTGTCGTGACGGCAGACCTCATTTGCTTGGTCGTGGCAACTGTGGTGAAAGACGGCTTTGTGCTAAAGCCTCGAGCGGAAGTCGTCTTGGCGCTGGTGCTGGTCGTGGTTGTGGTTGAGCTTGGCTTCTTGTAGCTCCAACCGGAGGGCAAGACGGCCATAGACACCGCGGCACAGCAAATCAGCCAAAAGCATATTTTTAACATTCTCAATGTGTATTCACTTGTTCTCCGATGGTTCCTCACTGAATGCACCTGCAGTCGATGTGCCCGTGCTTTTAAACGTAGCGTAGGAGCCGCCCAATACAAAGCATAACCTCACTTTTGTTTTGTTTTGGCTTATCTTGGTTGTGCTTATGCCCTGTAGCTATGCATTAAGCTGGGTATATACGGTTTACAGGAAACTTAAAATTTAAAACAAACTTAAAATCATAAACAAATTTAAAACTTGATTTAAAGCAAATGCTCAATATTTTATTTATTTTTATTTTTTTTCAATAAATATAAGGAATAACCAAATGCTAGCAGGTTGTCATATATACATAGTTTATAGGGTATAGTTGAGTTGGACATGCAGCTTGCAGTTTTTAAATTATTTTGTTCTCATTCTTTTTGCAGGCCTAACAAAAAGATTGCAACCCCATGAGAAATTTGCTGAGCAGTACAACACAGTTTTTGCACCGATTAGCAACGGCGCCTCGTTCCGTAGCCCCCTACGTCTAATGTTTTTAGACTGTCTGGCGCTACAAAAAGAACTGGAAGAACTCGTCATCTACTGCCTGGCCAATAGTAGCATCAATAGTACAATCTGGCGCCAGGCCGCGATACCAACTGGACGCGTAAAACAGCTGCTGCCCGTTGTTGATAATATTGGCTCTGCTCTGGCCCTGCTCGTTGACAACTCTGTCGAGTTCTGGCGGTGGACAGTCGACGGCAGCTCCAAGTTGCAGCAGCGTCTGCCGCTAATGCAGGCTGAGCAAATGGCACTGGCGCGTCATGAGAACCGTTATTACTTGGCCGTTTTGACTGCAGTCCCAGCAGCCGCCCTCCACATATACAGGCAAGTGCTGCCAGTTTAGCTATTTTCAAGCTTGATTTGGCTACTTAGATATTGTATGCTCAGATAACTAATCCAGCTGTTTTAAACATAACTAAACGAATAATTATCTTCCATACTGTACAGTGCCGACAACAGCAACGCCTTGGAATACCACCTGGAGCAAATATTTGAATTGGACGAGTCGCCGCAGCAGCGTCGGCTGCTTTTTGTACATCTAAACAAATCCAAAGATCTGCTGCTTTGCTTGTCCAATGCTGCTGTCACGCAAACCCTGCGCATTTATCAACACCAAGGCGTGGCAGGCTTTCAGCCGATCCTCAATGAAAGCACGCTGCCTGCGGCTCAGTTCTTGCAAACTCTGGAGCTGCCAGTCTCGCAAAATACGGTCTTGGCACTAGTCAATGGTGAAGGCGTCTTTTTGGTGGAGCCTCACTTCACAAGGCTTTGAGGCCAAATAATGTATATTACTGTTTATTGATTATTTTTGATATAATAAGCATTTCAAATGTACATAAAATAATTTTGTACTATATATTTGATAGTTTTCTAACAATTCTATGTTCTCAGTGAATCACCATGCAGACTGAACGTGTTCACTGCATATAACGTATTCCAAATTTCAAATACATACGAAATAGCATCGTTGGCACCACAAGCGATTTGAAAAAGGGCAACAAGTATTAACGAGCAATTACGTTTTTGCCTCCAATGGCACCTCAGGCTGGCACCCTCGTCTCCAGTCGCACTGGACTATGTAGGGAAACAACAACTTCATTGTCCGCATAGTTTCCTGCTCCAGCTATGGGCGAGTCCCCAACGCGGCCGTGCTTCTTGTACTTAAAGCCATTGGTGGAGGTAGATGAATGTATTTGGTGGTCTTCATCTATGGCTACCATTCCTATGGTATCGTGATTATCCGGCCCAATATTGTGATAACATTAAAGCCCCATTTGCACGGCAAAATCTGAGGCCCCTTGTCCCACCAGAAAAGGCTGCGACGTGCGCTCCAGCACAAATCTGGCCGCCAGTATAGCATCTCTAATGTCAGTAAGACCAGCTACAGCGCCTATATCTATTGTGGCTCCATACATTACCATAGCGTCCAGTGTTGTCTGGCCTCGCTCATCCGGGTGTCCGTCATACCCAACAAACATACCACACTGATCTATCTCGCACTAGTTGAGGCCTCCCACGAGAGCATTGCGGGTCTGATGAAGACCTTCCTCCGACTGACTTAGAATGCGCCATGCCTCTACTGAGGCATTGGCAGGAGTTGCTCCTCTTCATTTGTTACTGTGCTATACCCTGCGTCTAAATCTGGACTCGAGACCTTTCTCGACATCAATTCGGTGCAGCTGCTTTTGCAGCACCCAGATGAAAGTTTTTTATCATTTTTATTAATTTGATTTCAGATTGTTTAATGTAAGCTTGTTGCTATTTGATCACTAATTCTCCGGTTCCCGCCCAGCAATTAACATAACCTAACTTTTTCATCCTGTTCTATCTTTTGTGAAACAAATATACTCTGTTACCCAAGGTGAAGGGTATAGACGACTTGTGAAACATCTTGATCCGCACTACGGTACTTGCGTTTTCGCAAACTGGATACTTTTAAAATATCAAATCTAAAATAAAAAACTGAATTATGTAATAATTTTGATGTTTTATTTAAAAAATATTTAAAGAGCACAAAAGGGATTTCTGACACGGACTGATCTCGATAAGGTTAACCATCATCGCCTACTTTTTAGTTAAGATTGTCTCTTAGTTATAGAACTTACCGGATTAGGCATAGTTAAGTCGACCTTTACTTTATGGTAACCTTATGATCTTATCAAAGCTATTGTTGGCCTCCAGAGAAAATAATCATGAGGCATGTTTTTTGATATGCTTCTAATGTGCTCTCAAAAATGGACGTTTATTTGCAGTCTTACCAATTCAGCTCTATTCCAGCTAAATATGGTTAATTTGCGAGATCGTTGGCCGAAAAAACGAGTTTTAAACTCTTTTGGATTTTATGAAAACTCAATCACAGGTATCACGATTGTTTCCAATTTATAATCAAAAAGCAAATTGATCGCTTCGTTCCCTGCTTGGTCAAGTCTTGTGGAGTTTTGACAGTGGGCAGAAGATAACGCCAAGCTGATGCAGGCTTAGTAAACGGAGCTGGCGGATCCTTCTGATGGATCACTTTTGCAGACATTTGGCTCAAACATACTCCCAACTAATCCTTAAGTACCTCATCAACAAGTACAACACATTCGATTTTCAACTTTAGCAAATCTTTTAAGATATTAAAGGCTCCACAGCCGTCAACTACTGTACAAATCCAAAGGTCATCTATGGTAACTATCTAATGTAATTAATTTCTGCAGTTTCTATAAGTTGCAAGCGGCTCAGCACGAGTCGTTGGCATTGGCATCAAGTTGGTGGCGCCGGTTTACGTGATTTCTCAAGAGACGATTTTACAGATTATTCAACGGTTTAATTATTTCTAAATAAAAATTACTTTTTATTAACGTTTTTTTTTTTGTTAGCGGCGTAAACTCTTTAGTTATTTGTGTTTCTCATTAGTTTAATCGTCGCTGGACTCAACGTTCTCCGTTTGCAAGTTCTTGAATGTTGGCACAGGCACGTACGTGACCAGTGTGTACAGTTTGTTGGGAGAATCCTCATCGTCATTGCGGCGACGCGCTAGACGGACACGAACGCGGAAGGGCGTTGATCTGTATCGTAAACAAACGATATTAGTTTGGGCATAAACGATATAAATATACGCGTGCCACTCACCTGATACCCTTGGACCAGATGTGCTTGTTGAGGCGGGTATCGATGCGAACATCATTGGTGCCCATCTCGCGCTCGGCAAACTTGCGGATCTCCTTGATGGCGCGCGGCGCACGCTTCTTGAAGCCGATGTTGTGCACACGCTTGGCCAAATGAATTGTGCACTCGCGGGTGACAACTTCGTTGATCGCCGACTTATTGCGTTTCTCGCCCTTGGTCTTTGCCATTGCTATTGCTATTCAATATCCTATTGAATAAACGGAAACACAATTCGGTTAGATTTAAGTTATCAAATGATACTACGGCATACAGCCCAATCAAAACACAAGAGCAATTTTCAGACGCCATTTAAACACACATAGCACTGCGACCGCCATAACATTTCGGTGGTTAAGTTAAGCATTTTATGTGCCGTGTACATTTTCATACATTTCATTGCATTTATTTTGCCATAAATTGCGATGTTTTCTGATTATATTTAGGGTAATATGCAAAAACCCACCTATAGGAAATGAAAGCTAGACGTAAAAGAATTTGACAGCTGCCAAGTGCTGTCAAAGTCAGAGCACAATTAGTGTTGGTAAATAGTCGCATACAACCCTGCATATGACAGCCGGCCCCGCAGCTGATGTTGGCAAGTAAATAAACAATGCTTGCCACTGCATGTAAGACATGTTTACATTGTTTATGTGAGTTAAATAACAATAATTTGCAATTACTTGCAGTGCAACTACTGACCGTTGGCCTGCTGTGGGGCGTCACGAATCCCTTTATACGCCTGGGAAGCCAAGGCATTGAGTCTGTTAAGGACACAGGCTCCAGATATCGAAATTTTCTTGCAGAGCTGCGGATGATTGGCTCACGCCTGCATTACTGGATACCATTTGGGCTCAATCAGTGTGGCAGTGTGCTGTATGTGTGGACACTGCGTACCGCCAATATAACTGTTGCTGTGCCCGTGGCGAATTCGTTAAGTTTTGCCTTTACAGCTATAACGGGCTATCTGCTTGGCGAACAGCTGCCTGGCAAAAGTGAGTGAGCTGTCACATAATAATATTTTGTTTAATTTGTTTCATTCGGTGCAGAGATAATCATTGGAACGTTGCTTATATGTTGCGGTAGCATACTCATGATATGTGACAAGTTGCTACAAGAACAGCAGAGCCAAAGTATAGATTTCCAATAAACATTTTTTTCTTATTTCTTTTCTTTATGCATTGTGCCACATATTAACTAAATTCTAATTAAAATTGTGTTTACAGGAATATACCATCTTAGGTTGAATTACAGATCTGTGTTCAAATTCTGTGTGTCATTAGTGGTATGCCTGCAATTTATCAATTTCACTTTAGTTATCGATCGTGCATTACTGTAACTAATTTATCGACCCTCTGACTGACCGGAATTCAAAAATACTCAAATTTTTCGTTTTCCTTTTTACATTTATTACCCTAACCCAAGGCCAAATTGTCTTTATTATTATGTAAATACAATATTGAAAAAATTCAATCAATTATAATTGCAATCTATAACGCATTATGTACCGCCTCAACGAGCACTTCCATGCTTGTGATGGGCGTCTGAGGCGTTATGCCGTGTCCCAAATTTGCAATGTAGCGTGATTTGCCAAATTTGTGCACCATTTCAGTGGCGAGCGAGCGCAATTCACTCGGTTCACAGTACATGCTTTGTGGATCGAGATTGCCCTGTAGTGTTATATTTGGACCGACCACTGCACGCGCCTCCACCGGATCCACAGTCCAGTCTAGCCCAATAACATCGTAGCCCAGCTCGCTTTGCTCCTTAAGTGAATGTCCAGCGCCCTTGGCAAATATAATCTATAAAGATATTTAATAAGTTAGCTAAGTAAATATGTTATTTTAGATAGCTACTTACAAGGGGCACCACTGGTATTACTTTCTTGGTGAGGCGATCTACAAGATCGTCGCGTATGCGACGCAGATAGGGTGCCGACCAAAGCAAAAACTCCTCCTTGCTTAGGTGCTCGGCAGATGACTCAAAGACCTGCAGCATTTGGGCGCCTGCTATGACCTGCATCTCCAGATAATCCACAATAACATCCGTAAGCAGATTTAAAAACAGTTTCGTGTCCTCCGGATAGTTGGTCAGCCAGGCCTTCGCCTTGGACATGGTCTTACTACCGCCACCTTCAATCATGTAGCCCATGAGTGTCCAGGGTGCGCCGGTGAAGCCAATCAAGGGCACGCGGCCATCCAATTTGTGGCGCATCATGGTTATAGCATCGCCCACGTACGTTAACCGCGACAGAGCGCCGTCTGGTGTCAAACGCTTCAAGTCCTCGGGTGTGCAGATGGGCTGTGGTAGCACGGGGCCCACGCCGGCGTGCATCTCTACCGTCAAGCCAAGGGCTTGGGGTATAACCAATATGTCCGAGAATATTATGGAAGCGTCCAAATCGAAACGTCGCAATGGCTGCATGGTCACCTCGCAAGCCAGCTCCGGTGTACGACAAACAGTAAAAAAGTCGTGTTGCTTGCGCAGCTCCTGGAACTCGGGTAAGTAGCGTCCAGCTTGACGCATCACCCAGACGGGCACCCGATCCACAACTTCTCCACGTGCGGCACGTAGCAAATTGTCATTCTTAAGGGGCGGGAAGGGCTGTAAGTGTTTAAGCGTGTTGTTGTTATTATTTTTAATTGTCATTCGCGCAGCGGGCAGCAACAGCAGCAGCACCAAAAATGATAATCGAAGTCCAAGAGTCTGCATTGTTTAATTGAGGTCAAACTGCTTTTGTTGGTGATGTAACTAAATAATGGCGGCCTAAAAGTTACTGGTACCTACCCTATTGTCTTTCATTCTTAAATAAATATCTTTATATTTGTAATTTTGCGAGAACGGCTCTATTCTTATTCAACAACACAGCAAATTTTGATAAATTATTTTATAAATTCGGCGAGCATCTGCATTCGATAAATGTTTTATCGATATGTTGTTGTGCCAGCAGCACGTTTGTTTTGTTTACGTTTTGTAGAGTTGCCGGATCGTGTGTGTGTCGGCATGTGCCGCCGTGATTTGCACATCACTAACTAAATTGCATTCGTGTCACAAACTAGAACGTAGAAGCTGGCAATCACTTATTTTCCTTATTAGAGGTTATTGGTAAATTTTGGTCTTTTTCGTTAAACCAAGTTATTTAACCTTTCTTCAATCATTTTTAGATTATTATTGATCGTAAACATGGCTGATGAACAACCAAATTTGGTAGCTGGACATCCACCTGCATGTAAGTGCACTAACCGTTTCTGTTTTTTTTTCTCTGGGTATTCGAGGGTCTTTAAATCAATTGTGAAATGTTTTGGTAAACTTTATTGACTACATAAATAGATTGAATGCTACGTTGGCGGCATATAACTAGCCCATTCAATGAAATATCTCTGTCCTATCAATTCTTTAACCCACAAATTGCTGATAAAGTATCCACATACACACATACATGCATGTCAAACTATTGCGTTGTGCAGCCGCTTACCAAAAATCATTGAAAATAAGCTGACGTCATAATATTCATTTACAGTGAAGGCCGGTGGAATGCGCATTGTGCAGCACAAGGCGCCTGTGTCAGAACGTCCGGCAAAGGATGCTGAGGATTGCACAGGTCTTACGGTAAATATAAGTTCATTCGATCATTTATATATATGTATATTGTTTTGATAACTGTTTTTTTTTTTTTTTTGCTGCAGAAACCAATCAATGTGAACTCGGCTTCAGTGAGCGGTGCACCCGTTAAGGGAAACACAGATTTTACGCCAGCTGGTGCGCAGGTGGCTCACTCTCACAAGCCGCCGGTGGCTGTGCAGCAGAAGGTTCAGTCACACATACAGCAGCCACGCAAATGAATAATCAACTAATTTGTTTATGTCATACGATAGTAGACCTATCGCACTGACTTACTGTATTCGATTGCTGTTTAAAGGGAGATTATTTTAAATATGCCTTGTATTTTGCTACACTAATATTGTTTGAATAATATTGCTTAACATTAATCATTCCAAATGAATTTTTGCGCGAAGATCGTAAATCAAATAAAATATATTATGGTTTTTTGTAGATAAAATATTTGAGAGTGTTTGAAGATAAGAGATGAATTTTCTGGTTGAAATTCCCAAGTGCTTTTTCAGCCAACAGTGCTTACAAATACAGCTTTTTGTGAACTAACGATGCCTCACTGAGCTTCGGTGGTCCGGGGTGCGGACTTCAAATCCGCAGTCGATTAACGTCGAAGTGGTTCGATTCCACCTGGGGGGCGATTCTCTTAGATGTCAGTTGGCTTTTTGCGGCGAATATAGTAATACACGGAAGAAGAGAGGGACAAAAATGTCTTAAAATAATATGCAACAAACGAATTTGCGGCGAATTGCTCTTAGACCCTCTTATTGAGAGTGTGTGTGAGAATTGTTTTTACAGTTACTCTCATCAATGCAATTATTCTTTTATTGTATAACAACTTTGGTGTAAATTATAATTCAACTTTTTTATATGGCATTTGCTGTTTTAATTATCCAGGATCGCAGTATGGCGACATCTACATAAACGCCCGGATAATTGGGCTGCGCACAGCCGTACCCCCAGGCCACGATGCCCGCCAGCAAACGGTCGGAGACCATGGGACCTCCGGAATCGCCGGCGCAGGCATCCTTGCCGGCTGCAGCGGCGCATATCATTTCCGTGCCGACAAAATCCCAACCATAGCCGTATTTGGCGGAGGCGCAGTCGCCACGCTCAATAATCTGCAGTTGCACCAACTGCAGGCTTTGGGCAAAGCCAGTGTCGCCACTCTCTTCCGTATGGCCCCAGCCGCTGACGGAGACACTGCTGCCCGCTGTTGGACTCGTGCTGGTCAGCGCAATGGCCTTGACGGACAGACTGAATGTGAGCTGCTTGGCCAGACGCACCAACGCAATGTCGTAGTGCAGCAGCCTTCCATCGTATTGTTCGTGGATCTGGTAGGTTGCTACAGGTAAAAGACTTCCGCCGGAATTGTGTTGATTGGCGCCCACGCGCACCTGCAGCAACGTCACGGATGTACCCTGCACACAATGACCCGCTGTGATGATGATATCCTTGCTGTAGATAGCGCCGCCGCATACATGACGCGCGCTCACTTGTATGGACACCTGCCAGGGTGCATTGTGTATGACCAAATCGTTGCCGCCCACAATGCGACCATAGTCCTGACTGGCCGGTTTTGCCAGGCCGCTAGCGCAGCAAAGCACGATCAACGCAAGGATGACAATGGAGCTGGTATGAGCCATATCTCGGAGCGTGTTCCAAGCAAGCCAAGTGGAAACTGAACGTACCTTGGTCGAGCGAGCATGTTGCCGCAAGCTTATCGGTTGCCCAAGTGCCGTAAACGTTAATCGCCTGCTAATGGCTTATCGAAGCCAGCGCTTCGAGTGGGTTACCCAGGCAACCATTGATAAACAAATTTATTTCTAGTCGCTATCGCATTGTGTGTAATAAATATTTTTAAATTTCAGCTGCTGTACAAAGTAGGATGTCCGATCCGTTTGCCATTACATCTGAGGAACTGCAGCGTCTGCGCGACATTTGCTTGGACCAGCTGCGCCAGGATGAGCTCCACAAGCTGCGCAACGATGCCAAATTACGGGCAGTAACTAGCACTGAAAGCTACGAGGAGTTCAAGTGAGTAGATAGTATTTTGTCGGCCTGATTTCAGTGCCCCACCCACATTTGTCACTTGCAGGGACATTGTGGATGCCGCTCATCTGCGCCCCGTCAGCAAGCAGGACAAGGCCAATGCCAAGACCAAGAGTCGTCTGTGGAACTCGGCGGCGCGTGAGCAATCGCCCTGAAATGTAGTCAATAAAGCGTAAACTAATAATCTTTAAAGCATTGTTTTATTGCAAAATTTCTTTAGACGGAGCCGGCGTTGTTGACCACCCAGGAACGGAGATCAGCCACATTGGCGTAGACACCGGGATAGTTGGCGTAGGCGCAGCCATAGCCCCATGATACAACACCAACGAGCACACCACCGGACACCAATGGGCCACCAGAGTCACCCTGGCAGGCATCCTTGCCGCTGGCGGCGGCGCAGATCATGGAGCTCTTGATCTCGCTACCATAGCCGTAAGTGGAGGAAGCGCACACGGACTGGCTGACAATGTTCACGTTCACGTACTGCAGGGTGGTTGGAATAGAGCTGGAGCCATAGGACTGAGTACCCCATCCAGAGACGGAGGCAGAAGCGCCGTTAGCGGGAGCAGAGCTAGCCAGACCGACAGCCTTGATGGTCGAGCTTAACGCCAGGGAAGAGCTCAGACGGATGACAGCAATATCGTTGACCATGGTGTTGGCGTTGTATCCTTCGTGGTTCCTGAAGGCGGCGACCTGGACCAGGGTGCCACCAGAGTTCCAGTAGGTGGAACCAGCGCGCACCTTCAAGCTGGAGGCGGACACGGACTGCAGGCAGTGAGCAGCAGTCACAATGATGTTGGCAGAGTAGACCGAACCACCGCAGGAGTGGCTGCCACTGCGCTGCAGCGAGATTTGCCAGGGGAAGCTGCTGATGGTGGTGGCGGTGCCGCCAACGATGCGTCCATCCAGCTGGGGCAGGAGACCCTCAGGGATCGCAGCACCAAAGGCGCAGGCAACAACCGACAACAAGATCACGAACTTGAACATATTGACTCAACAATGTGCCCCACTTGGCAATGCCTTCGACTTTTATAGTGCTCCGAGCCGTCTACTATCTCCAGCTAATCAAAAGCTTTCAATCCATTTTATCAGATAGCTGCCACAAAAACGAAGAAACAGTTCTCGCCTCTGTTAAAAAGAGGAAAAACCCACAGAAGCTTCAACGTCAGCTGATAGCGAAAGGAGTTGATTTTTATAATAATTTTCATTTAGATATTGTTGGTAGAATGACTATTATAAATATCTGCTTTTAATTAGCCGAAGCATAAGTAGGATTTATTAGTTTTCTATAATTTAAAAAATTGCCTATAGGGCATGACCCTACATATTATTAATAATATCAATTGAGTATTTTAATAATATCAATAATAATTTTGGCTATGCAGGTAATATTTTTCTATGTATAAAAATCGGAAAAGTTCCCCGGCATTGCCAGGGTCAAACAAAATAAGAAATTCAGGCACAAAATAAGAAATTCAGGCAGGGAAAATACGGTCAAGTGGTCAGGGACCTGCCGTAACTGTCTTGCCCGCATACATATTGCTGCCTGTTCCTATTTCGGCCCACTCACAACATTAATTAAACTCTTTTATTTTATTCATTTCTTCATTATAATTATTGCTATTGAATAATGAAATAAATAAACTGCTCCTGCCTTGGAATCGGCGGCCGCATATGTTATGATATCACTTTTACCTGCAAAATTTATCACCTTTCCACCCCACTTGGAGGTATAAAATATCGTTTAAGTGCCTCTTTTCGTTCCAAAAGAAGACTCGCAGAAAGTTCATAGGTACAGTACGATGGTCGCCGTCCGGTTAGTCAGAACAACATGGACATAACGACATAATTCCGGAGATATGCCCCATCAGAACGCCATAATTTCCGTGATATGTCATTTTAAAGCGCCATATCTCCGCGCGGAATGTCGGTATTAAGCACCATATTTCCGCGCGGAATTATGTCGCCTTAAAATAACATAATTCCGAAGTTGGCCCCCGCGAGATTATCTCGTTTTAAGGCGACATCAATCCACCGATCTAAAAGGGAAATATTTCCGCGCGGAATTATGTCGTTTTTAACGTCAAATCTCCGCGCGGAATTATGTCGTTCTTTGTATGGCAGGGTTATGTCTTAAAAGATGAGAACTCATTGTACGATACACAAATTGTCCTCAGAATACTGCAATAAGCTTTTTCGAAAAACTAATGTTTATTTTTTCATAACCAAACAAATACACAAAACATTTCTTGACCTAGAACCTATTGCGAATGTGTGAAATGGGTTTAATGTATTTTTGCAAATCAATGTAACATGAGAAAGGGAGCGTCTCCGTCCCCATAAAGTATATATATTCTTGATCAGGACTACGGATTAAGTTGATCAGTCATGTCTGCCTGTTCTTCTGCGTAATTGTACCGATCCTGGAAAATATAATGGTTAAGTAACTTGAAATTTTAAAGACATATTGTTCGATATCAAATGCAGAACGACTTTATAGTTTTTTTTTATACCATGTACCCTTTTAAAATTGGTTAAAGGGGTATAATATATTTATGAAAATGTATGTCCGTCTGTCTGGCCGTCTGTCCGCCCTTATGTATCTATAAGAGCTAGAGTCTTGAAACTTGGAACGTAGTGCCCGCGCTGTACGAGTTTGTTGCCGATAATCGAAAACTTGCCCAGCTTCCAAGTAATCGATCAAATCATGTTTTTTGAGCAAATATCTTACGTTTTTGGAGCTCAAACTTGACATGTAGCTTCTAGAATAGTAAATATATATCAAGTTTCTTTCATTTTATAGCTATCGTCACCCCGCCAGCACCACATATTTATTAATGCAATAATCTTTTTGAGGATACACGAATATTTATAGGACAATAAGATCTACTGTTGAAAATTTAATCAAGATCGTTTAAGAAACACAGATGTTATAATAGAAAATGTGGTCTGTAGCAGGTTCAAGTCATATTGGGGAAACTATTTTCTTCTTTTTATACCCTGAACCCATTTTAAAGGGGTATAAGGGTATATTGTATTTGTGCAAAATCCAAATGTATGTAACAGGCAGAAGAAAGCTTCTCCGACCCCATAAAGTATATATATTCTTGATCAGCATCAATAGCCGAGTCGATCTAGCCATGTCCGTCTGTCTGTCCGTCCGTATGTATGAACGCAAGGATCTCAGAACCTATAAGAGCTAGAGACTTGAAATTTGTTAGATGTAGATGCTCCTAGTTCCCGCGCAGATCGAGTTTGTTTCCGATAATCGATAACTTACTCCGTTTCCAAGCAATCGATAAAAATCGATATCGATATCCTGTTTTTTGGGCAATTTTGGTAAATAAAAAGAGCTAGAGTCACCAAACTTGACATATAGCTTCTAAAATAGAATATTTGCATTTGATGTTGGAAGAAGAGGGTTCAGGGTATCCCGTAGTCGGCGGCTCCCGACTAGAACCTCTTACTTGTTTTTATTTTGCAACATGAAATTTAGACATCCCTTAGGTTTCCTTGTGTATTATTAGGAAGTTATGAGGCATATTTCATTTTTATCTGCCGCCTCGCGACCTGACTAAACTAAATTATTCATTTTTCTAGTGTCTTCATACCCTTTTCATGTTAAAGAGTTACTTCGCAATAAGAAAAAAACATCAGTGGATTTTGTAAGGAAGTTTTTATTTCAATATATGTTTAGACGGAGCCGGCGTTGCTGACCACCCACGAGCGGAGATCAGCCACATTGGCGTAGACACCGGGATAGTTGGCGTAGGCGCAGCCATAGCCCCATGATACAACACCAACGAGCACACCACCGGACACCAATGGGCCACCAGAGTCACCCTGGCAGGCATCCTTGCCGCTGGCGGCGGCGCAGATCATGGAGCTCTTGATCTCGCTACCATAGCCGTAAGTGGAGGAAGCGCACACGGACTGGCTGACAATGTTCACGTTCACGTACTGCAGGGTGGTTGGAATAGAGCTGGAGCCATAGGACTGAGTACCCCATCCAGAGACGGAGGCAGAAGCGCCGTTCGCGGGAGCAGAGCTAGCCAGACCGACAGCCTTGATGGTCGAGCTTAACGCCAGGGAAGAGCTCAGACGGATGACAGCAATATCGTTGACCATGGTGTTGGCGTTGTATCCTTCGTGGTTCCTGAAGGCGGCGACCTGGACCAGGGTGCCACCAGAGTTCCAGTAGGTGGAACCAGCGCGCACCTTCAAGCTGGAGGCGGACACGGACTGCAGGCAGTGAGCAGCAGTCACAATGATGTTGGCAGAGTAGACCGAACCACCGCAGGAGTGGCTGCCACTACGCTGCAGCGAGATTTGCCAGGGGAAGCTGCTGATGGTGGTGGCGGTGCCGCCAACGATGCGTCCATCCAGCTGGGGCAGGAGACCCTCAGGGATCGCAGCACCAAAGGCGCAGGCAACAACCGACAACAAGATCACGAACTTGAACATATTGACTCAACAATGTGCCCCACTTGGCAATGCCTTCGACTTTTATAGTGCTCCGAGCCGTCTACTATCTCCAGCTAATCAAAAGCTTTCAATCCATTTTATCAGATAGCTGCCAAAAAAAAAAAAAAAAAAAAACAAGTAAGATGTTCTAGTCGGGAGTTCCCGACTAGGGGATACCCTGAACCCCTTCTTCCAATATCAAATGCATATATATATTCTATTTTAGAAGCTATATATCAGTTTGGTGACTCTAGCTCTTATTATTTACCAAAATTGACCAAAAAACAGGATATCGATATAGATTTTTATCGATTGCTTGGACGCGGAGTAAGTTATCGATTATCGGAAACAAACTCGATATGCGCGGGAACAAGGAGCACCTACATCAATTTCAAGTCTCAAGCTCTTATAGGTTCTGAGATCCTTGCTTTCATACATACGGACGGACAGACGGACGGACAGACAGACGGACATGGCTAGATCGACACGGCTATTTATGCTGATCAAGAATATATATACTTATATATGGGGTCGGAGATGCTTCCTTCTGCCTGTTAAATACATTTGGCTTTCGCACAAATACAATATAGCCTTATACCCATTTTTAATGGGTTCAATGTATAAAAATGACACTGATAAAAAAAAGAAAAACCCATAGAAGATTCAGCGCTCGAAAGAAATTGAATTTTATTATAATTATTCCACCAAATCTGCAACTCTTGAAGGGGACAAAGTTTGAATCTTTACAGAAGATGGTATTTTCGTTATTGGATTCAGCACTCGGAACGATATAGACAGTTTTTTAATATTTTGCTCAAGTTTTAAAAAACTTGATAATGTGTAGTGTAGATCAGGTTGATAGCTCATCAGCTTTGCAGCTGAAATGCTTCTTCCCCAAAAGGAAAATACATAAGTAGCTATTAAAATCAGTTTTTATTTCAATATGTTCTTAGATTGAGTTGGAGTTGTTGATCACCCAGTTGCGGAGGACAGCAACATCGGCGTAGACACCTGGGTAGTTGCTGTAAGCACAGCCATAGCCCCAGGAGACGACACCAACGAGCACACCACCGGACACCAATGGGCCACCAGAGTCACCCTGGCAGGCATCCTTGCCGCTGGCGGCGGCGCAGATCATGGTGCTCTTGATCTCGCTACCATAGCTGTAGGCGGACGAGGCGCACACGGATTGGCTGACAATGTTCACGTTGACGTACTGCAGCTGGGTGGGGATGGAGCTGGAGCCGGAAGACTGAGTACCCCAGCCAGAGACGGAGGCAGAAGCGCCGTTACCGGGAGCAGAGCTGGCCAGACCGATAGACTTGATGTTGGAGGTGAAGGATAGGGCAGACGACAGCTTGATGATGGCGATGTCGTTGACCATGGTTTTGGCATTGTATCCCTCGTGGTTCCTGAAGGAGGCAACCTTGACGACAACGCCACCGGAGTTCCAGTAGCTGGAGCCGGCGCGAATCTGCAGGCTGGAGGCGGACACGGACTGCAGGCAGTGAGCAGCAGTCACAATGATCTTGGAGTTGTAGATGGAACCACCGCAGGAGTGGCCGCCATTACGCTGCAGGGAGATCTGCCAGGGGAAGCTGCCGATGGTGGTGGCAGTGCCGCCAACAATGCGACCATCCAGCTGGGGCAGGAGACCCTCAGGGATCGCAGCACCGAAGGCGCAGGCAACAACCGACAACAAAATCACGAACTTGAACATATTGCTCGTACAATGTGGTTGTGATAATATGCTCGCGCTTATATAGGCCGGGTGGGACGGCTTCTATCTTATTGCTATCACTCCATACTAACGTTAGTATGTACTATATTATCAATAAGTTCTAATCCTAAGAATCACGCGTGGCCTGAGTAAGTATATAAGAATATCAGAACAATGAACGTTAGATTCTTGAGTGCTTCACAATAACATCCGGCTAAACACATAAGAACCACTCGAGAATGGGACGAAAAGATTTTGGCGACTGTGATACGAATTTATAGTGCAAGTGCTTATTCTAAAAATGTGCTAAGAATTATTTTGGTTTGAACCAAACATCACAATAACCATTACCTGACTATCTACTATATAGAAATATAATTCTATGTTCGCCATTTTTAAATTTATATAGACTTTATAACGCACTTATCTAATGTTCTATGTCACAGGCACGAATGGTGCTCGATCTATTATATCATTTGTATACGCTTGGAGAGGCTATTCGAAAAATTGCTTTTCATGAAATTCTTTACATATTGACAAGTAATTTCCGATCACATAAAGTATATATAGTTATATATATATATATATATATATATATATATATATATATATATATATATATATATATATATATATATATATATAGTTATATATATATATATATATATATATATATATATATATATATATATATATATATAGATATAATACTAATTTATAATATTATTTATAAACGCTATCAGACTAATACTATGGATCATAGGAACTATAAAGACACTATAGGGTGGCTAAGATAAACAACGCATATATGATATTCTGTCTAAAAATAAAGGGATGTTACGTTAATTGTGTTTTGCTTATCTTGAAAACTTGATTTCTTTGGAATAGTTCACTATTTGCAAATACAAAATCCCCCACTAATTAAAAGTCTTAAAATAGAAAATGTTTTATCATGAACCTTATCTGTGTGTTCCCTTTTAATCTAGCTAAAAGTTTAACTAAGACAATTTATTAACTAAAAATTGCCAATATTATATTAATTTAATTGAAGTATCTACATTGCTTTTATATTAACAAATATAAATCTAGCCAATGCTTGGTTCTGTTTATTAGCTACAAAAATATGTTACGCAATTTATGAAGCATACTTTTTGGAGCATAGAAAAGGTTTTTATAACTCACATGAGCTGTATAAGCAGAACAAATTAGTAACCCATCAAAAGTGTGTACACAGCAACCCCATTAAAAATGCTCGGCTTATGCGATTCGCGGGACACTTCATTTGATCTCTATGTATAAAACTGTTTGCCCTGACTGACTGACTGGCTGACTGGCTGACCGACGTTTTGACTGACTGATTGGTGATCAAGGCACAGTCCAAACATAAGAGCTAGGTAGCTAAAATTTTGGTTTACCATCCGATCGGCATTAAATTCAATTTCAAAGATCTTTATTCAAATTCATATAGGGGCTGTTTTGGAAAAAGCCATCCCACCTTGGTGGAAATGGGTGTCAAATATTAGGTGGGTGACGCTTCGCGGGCAAATTCATTTCCAAGGAAGTTTTACGTTTTGTTCGATTTGTTTCATAATAATTTTTAAAGTTCTACATAAGAACTTAATGAATACGCGTTGATACGTTCTTGGGTAGCAAATGCGGGTCAAAGGTTTATTAAATGAAAGTTTATTCTTCAGCTTTAATATTCTCACCACAAGACTAACATGAGCGGAAACCATTGATTCTTTTTTTAATGCATTTAAAACATATTTAAAATTTTAATTATTAGCACAAAACGTTCTACGTGCAAGGCCGGGCAATACCCGCTAGTTATAAATACATTTTATTATATAAACATATTTTTATTTATCAGTTAACAATTATTCTAAATTTTTTGTATATACATTAAAATTAACTAATCTTTCATATTTTAAGTACTGAAACAATCGACGAATCAATGTCTAAAACTAACTAACTTGCCGATATTTAGCTATCCAAGTAAAACTTCGTGTACAACCAAAACAACTTTTCAAATAATATGGTTCTTTAGCTTTTTATTAAATACAAAATTGGTATTCCGGGCATATACCTGTTCGCTTGCTTGAAGCCTATATGACGGTTTTTGCAATTAATGCATGGTTTTTTTCTAGTCCCGGTGTTCGCTTAAATATTAAACAAGGCTTGAGGGTGGGTATATCCAGCTATCAAACATTTTAGAATACTTAAATGGTTTCGAATATATAACCTACACTTAGGTCCGCCTTACAAAATATGAGAAGAGCTGCGGCTTATTTCTTTAATGCTCCAAAGATTAATAAATTCACATTTCTTCTTTAATTTTAAGAAGAGTTTCGGAAGCAGGATGCTTAAAACAATGAAAGAGATAGAATTTTTGTATACCTCACACTTTTTATCATCTAAGAAACCTAACTGAATATCAGGCAGGATTAACAGCTGTATCCACGATAAACAAAGAAATTTGAAGAGGCAAACAAAGAGAATAATTTTTAACTCATGATTTATTTTGCAATGTTCTTAGATTGAGTTGGAGTTGTTGATCACCCAGTTGCGGAGGACAGCAACATCGGCGTAGACACCTGGGTAGTTGCTGTAAGCACAGCCATAGCCCCAAGAGACGACACCAACGAGCACACCACCGGACACCAATGGGCCACCAGAGTCACCCTGGCAGGCATCCTTGCCGCTGGCGGCGGCGCAGATCATGGTGCTCTTGATCTCGCTACCATAGCCGTAAGAGGAGGAACCGCACACGGACTGGCTGACAATGTTCACGTTGACGTACTGCAGCTGGGTGGGGATGGAGCTGGAGCCGGAAGACTGAGTACCCCAGCCAGAGACGGAGGCAGAAGCGCCGTTAGCGGGAGCAGAGCTGGCCAGACCGATAGACTTGATGTTGGAGGTGAAGGACAGGGCAGACGACAGCTTGATGATGGCAATGTCGTTGACCATGGTGTTGGCATTGTATCCCTCGTGGTTCCTGAAGGAGGCAACCTTGACGACAACGCCACCGGAGTTCCAGTAGCTGGAGCCGGCGCGAATCTGCAGGCTGGAGGCGGACACGGACTGCAGGCAGTGAGCAGCAGTCACAATGATCTTGGAGTTGTAGATGGAACCACCGCAGGAGTGGCCGCCATTACGCTGCAGGGAGATCTGCCAGGGGAAGCTGCCGATGGTGGTGGCAGTGCCGCCAACAATGCGACCATCCAGCTGGGGCAGGAGACCCTCAGGGATCGCAGCACCGAAGGCGCAGGCAACAACCGACAACAAAATCACGAACTTGAACATATTGCTCTTATAATGTAGTTATGATAATATGCTCGCGCTTTTATAGCTATACGAGGTGTTTGCTATCTGCAAAAAGCGTAACTTATCTTAACTATTTGATTAATTTTACGCGAATAGGAAAAAAAAATCGAGCAAAAAAATTCCCATTAAGCTGTTAAGTGGTGAACGTCAAGATTTGGCTGATCACACCATCTCTGTGAGATATCTAAGTTGGACTGGAATATTACAAGTACCTAAAATTCAGTGGGAGTTGTACTATAAAACGGCTGTGTCTGCAGGTAGTTGGATTATAACGCAGCAACATGTTGAAATTTGTGGTACTTCTTTCCCTGGCCGCTTGTGTCTTGGCCGGCACAGTGCCGGAGGGCCTCCTGCCCCAGTTGGATGGCCGCATTGTTGGTGGCTACGAGACCAGCATCGATGATCATCCCTATCAGGTGTCGCTACAGCGCAATGGAGCTCATTTCTGCGGTGGTTCCATCTACTCTGGTGATATTGTGGTCACCGCGGCCCACTGCTTGCAGTCGATCACAGCTGGAGAGCTGAAGGTGCGTGTGGGTACCACCTACTGGCGTTCCGGTGGCAGCGTGCACTCGGTGCGTTCTTTCAGAAATCATGAGGGCTACAACTCCAAAACCATGATCAACGATGTGGCCGTTATTCGCATGTCTTCTTCGGTCAGCTTCCGCTCAAACGTTCGTGCTATTGGTCTTGCTGAATCCAATCCTCGCAATGGTGCTGAGGCTGTTGTCTCTGGCTGGGGCACCACCGAGTCCGGTAGCTCTACCATTCCCGATCATCTGCTGGCTGTGAACTTGAGGATCGTTGATCGTGAGGAGTGCGCCTCCAAGGAGTTCAGCTATGGTAGCAAGATCAAGGACACAATGATCTGCGCCTATGCCGAGCATAAGGATGCCTGCCAGGGTGACTCCGGCGGCCCATTGGTCTCTGGCGGTCGTCTTGTCGGCGTTGTGTCCTGGGGCTATGGCTGCGCTGATGTCAAATATCCCGGTGTCTATGCTGATGTCGCCCACTTCCGTAGCTGGATCGAGAAGACCGCCGACGAGCTCTAAGCTCAAACTCTTGACAATTCCTCAATAAACTGCGTACATTCAAGTTGAACGTCTTTCATTTGTCATTTCCCAATGAGTGTAATCCCCTAAACTCTTGAGTCTACGACTGATAACGGCTCGCCTAGGGCCCTATAAAAACACCGCGCGAAGCGTTGTAACCCAAGCATTTCCCAATTACGTTTGATATGTTCAAGTTTGTGATTTTGTTGTCAGTCGTTGCCTGCGCCTTCGGTGCTGCAGTTCCCGAGGGTCTGCTGCCCCAGCTGGATGGACGCATCGTTGGCGGCACTGGCACCACCATCAGCAGCTTTCCCTGGCAAATATCGCTGCAGCGTAGTGGCAGCCACTCCTGCGGTGGTTCGGTCTACTCTGCGAAGATCATCGTGACGGCTGCTCATTGCCTGCAATCCGTGTCCGCCTCCAGCTTGAAGGTGCGCGCTGGTTCCACCTACTGGAACTCTGGCGGCACTCTGGTCCAGGTCGCCGCCTTCAGAAACCATGAGGGTTACAACGCCAACACCATGGTCAACGATATTGCTGTCATCCGCCTGAGCGCTTCACTCTCCTTCAGCTCCACCATTAAGGCTATTGGTCTGGCTACTTATAATCCTGCCAATGGTGCTTCCGCTGCCGTCTCTGGCTGGGGTACTCTGTCCTCGGGCTCCAGCTCAATTCCCAGTCAGTTGCAGTATGTGAACTTGAATATTGTCAGCCAGTCCAAGTGCGCCTCCTCCAGCTACGGTTACGGCAGTCAAATCAGAAGCACCATGATCTGCGCATCCGCCAGCGGCAAGGATTCCTGCCAGGGTGACTCTGGTGGCCCACTGGTGTCCGGTGGTGTGCTCGTTGGTGTCGTCTCCTGGGGCTATGGCTGTGCTTACAGCAACTATCCCGGTGTCTACGCCGATGTGTCTGTGCTCCGCTCCTGGGTGGTCAGCGCTGCCAACTCGATCTAAATAGATCGGTCATACGATTTTATAATATCTTCAATAAAAATCTTAGCAACAGAAAAAAAATTCCTCCCCATTTTGCTGAATTTTGCTTCCGGGTCACTTGTCGGGACAATGACGTGCGTCGCTTATCGTCAGGGAATATCAGCTAAATTACAAATAGTTATGAATGATTTTTTATCTGGAGAGCTGGCTAAAGGGCCATCAGTTTGTCTAGTCATTATCTAGTTATGATTCTTAGCTGTCTCAAGTGGAGGCTTGCGAAAACGCTTCAGCCACCCAGATACGATGAGCTGATGTCCACCATTACGTGCACTATTATCTAATCGGCATGGAGTGGGACACACGCCTGAAATAACAAAGTTTGCGACTAGATGACTAGTTGAAATCACTAACAATTTTAAATGATAGCTATGCGACAGCTGATACGGAGCATGTGCTACATCCTGCGTTGGTCGTGGGCCGTTAACTTCGCCACATCAAGATTAATTGACCACAGCTCAAGTGTCTGATATGATAGATGGGCTTTGGGTAGAACAGTTGTCGTAATTTGACAGACTTAAGTTGTAGTGCGGCTCCTTGTCACATCTTGCCAATGAAAATGAGGAGGATCTTCATGAGAACGGAATAACGGAATAATACGATCAATTCTTTCTCCATACTACAACCTGAGTTTGAACCTCCTTGACCTCATAATTCCAATTTCTTTTTACCGAAAATTAAATCATTAATAAATTTTTCTATAAATGGTTTGGTTGAAATATAAAAAAAAAGTAGAGGGTTCCCTCGGCTTGTTTTTTTCGTACCTTCTGAATTTATTTATAATAAAATTTATTGCGGTTGATAAGTTTGTTTTTAATTAAAATTCTTGAAAAAAATACGCATATCAACGATGAAGCGCTAGACAATACCACGTTCTGCGCATATAATTTATGATAATACGAAATTCTACACAAAAGAAAGCAAATTTCAAGAGTAGGTTAATTAACCAAAATCAGCGCAAGTCAAGCAAATGATATCAAAGATATCTATGTCAAAATACATTGGAAACGCATTACACACTTGATTACTAACAAAAAATTCAAGGCAAGAGTCAGACAGACGGGTGTGTTTCTTAAGAACAGCGAAAACCCCGATATTTTACCATATTAGTGCTCAATAGACTATAGAAGATAGTGCCAGATATGACAATAAAGGCATAAAAAGCTTATTGGGTCTTATGAGTAGTCACTGCGCAGATTTGCACAAGACAAAAACAAAACCGCCAAAGTAACGAATTCCACATTTCGAATGGTGTCTTTGACAGATAACAAACCGAACAAGGCAGTTAGCCATGGTCAGAAATGGGTACGTTTTGCAAGCCCATTGATTCGGGTTGGGCTCTTAAAAGTCACTGCAGAAGGCTATATTATGCATGCTTATAACGGGAGTTAAGGTATTAGACCAACCAATAGTGGTTGGCTGACTGCGAGAATACCCTGTACAAGGTTCTCAGTTACTCAAAAAGTTAATCACAAATCCATAGAACATATTAACCGAAGATATTTTCATGAAAATATACCGTACTCGCTTGATGACCAGTTTTGCAGGACGTCGCAAGAATTTTTTGTATACCTTTTTATCTCTAATAAATACAGGGTATAAAATGCACAAATTTCTGATAGTGTCAAAATGTTAAGCACTTGCTGTAAGAAGTTTAGCTAAAGTCCATCAATCATGGTAAAAGACTCGGAAACTAACTAATATAAATAAAGGCCTTTGGGGCTAGCAGCTATTAGTTTCTGGACAACATGCAGGGTCTTGAAGCATTGTTGCTCTGCCTGGTGGTTGGCACCACAGTGGCGGGCACTATAAGTCCAGCTCCCAATCCCTTTGAGCGTGAGGGCCGCATTGTGGGTGGCGAGGACACGACCATTGAGGCGCATCCCTATCAGGTTTCGCTGCAGAAGAAAAGTGGCTCCCACTTCTGTGGTGGCAGCTTGATTAGCCACAATATGGTGGTTACTGCCGCTCACTGCCTGCAGGGCATCAAGGTGTCCAGCATACGAGTGCGTTTGGGCTCAACCCGGTACAACGAAGGGGGCTTGCTCGTCACCGTCGAAAGTTTGGTCTACAACGATCAGTACAACAGCCAGACACTGGCTAACGATGTGGGCCTGCTCAAGCTGGCGGAGAGTGTGGCCGAATCGGACTCTATTCGTTATATACCATTGGCTGAGGTAACACCGCCAACAGGCACACCGGCTGTGGTCACGGGCTGGGGCACCAAGTGCTACTTCTGGTGCATGTCCCTGCCAAAGACCCTTCAGGCTGTCGTTGTCTACATTGTGGATTGGAAAACGTGCGCCTCCGATGAGTACAAATACGGGGACATTGTTTTGGACACCATGGTCTGTGGCTATGAGAAGGATAAGGATGCCTGCCAGGGTGACTCCGGCGGACCTCTGGTGGCCAACAATCAGCTGGTGGGCATTGTGTCCTGGGGCTACGGCTGCGCCGGCAAGCTGCTGCCTGGTGTCTACGCCGATGTGGCAGCTTTACGCAGTTGGATCGAGGAAAACGCCAAAACTTTGTAAATACAAATCGCTTTGAATAAAATAATGAAATTGATAACGAAATAATGATAGATCGATTGGATTGAAGAACCGAACCTTTCTTGAGAGTATTTTATTATGTAAGGTATAAAGCTCAGTGCGGTATGTTTATAGGAACGAGCTTTAAAAGCTCCAGTTGCAAGCTTTATGAAACCGAAATCAGAGTGGAAAATATGCTCTTCGGGTAGGTTATCTTCCAATGTTTTAATTGAGTCTATCAGCTTTTGCTTCTATATACATTTTTTACCCATTTTATTTTACTGATAATCCATTTAGATTCATGTTTTGTCATTTGAAGAAGTTTTATTGTCAAACCCAAGGAGATATAGGTTTGTCCACTATTTGATCCATTGGTAGTCGTTCTTCGTTCTCAGATGTTTTAGGAGTTGCGCACACTTTTGAATTTTTTAGGATAGGGTATCTTCAGTTGAGCACTGGCGGCGACTTCAGTGTTTCTTGATTTGTCCCAGTCTCCTTTTTACTCTGTTTACAAAGGGAGTATATTAGCTTAAGGCTATACCCGAGTTGGCGCCTTCTAAAAAAATGTTAAAAAATCTTCTTGAAAACTGAACCCAATATTTTTGGGCCACGCCCACCATCTTAAATAGCGAGGATCAATAACTTGTTCGAGCTTAAATAACAAAAGCTTAGAAAGACGTTTTTCGAGATCTATTCAAAAAAAATTTTAGAACGAATTGGGAAAATCTATATATTGTAAAGTTTTATATTTAAGTCGGGTTTAGCTGTATTGTCTACAGTTCTTGAACTTGTATGACAAAAACTTAGTATAAATTCTATTGGTGATCTTCTGTTAAAATCGATTCAAAAAGAATTTGACCATGAATCGGAAATATCGATAGCGTCGTCAATCAATTAGAGATATCAGGAACATCTTTTGTAATACTCTTAAATACCAACAAAACTTCGAAATGTCGACTATTCTATATCTTCTACAACAGTAGCTGCTGCAGTTCTATATCTGATGAGTTCTACTTAGGAGCGATTCATATTTTGCCTATGCCCAATATCTCTTAATAAGCTCGGCGGGTTTTTAGATGTTATTGGACTGTAATAGAGTATTGCGCAGTCGGTTGTACGCGACTGAAGCAATATGATAACAAATATTTTTATTATTTTCTTTGTTTTTTTTGGTAACAACTAATCTTGGCCATGAGTAATATTACATTAATGCTTAACCCGATTTCACGAACTTTCCCTGCGCATTATCGAGCGCCTTATCGGGCAATTAATAAATCGGTTTATTGTCGGGCTAAATAACGCTGCTGATACCTACCGCTGTCCGAGTCGGACCTAGTGTCCAGTTAGTCTTTGCTGAAACATTGAAATGGACAACGCTTTGCTCGCAGTCGTCGTCGTCGTGGGGCTGCTGCTGACCGGCAGCTGCAGCTGCCGCGACAGCTCGCATCTGGCGCCGGACGGACGCATCGTTGGAGGCGAGGTCATCTCTGCCTATTATCTGCCGTATCAGGTATCAGTGCGCCGAAGAAATAGCGCTCGGAGCGCCTATGCCCACTCCTGTGGTGGCGCTCTACTGGACGAGCGCACCGTCCTGACCGCGGCACATTGTGTGTACAATCGACAGGAGGAGAATTTCCTGGTGGTGGCCGGCACTGAGCTGCGTGCTGGCATGGATGGTGGTGTCGTCTCCCGCGTGGAGAAGCTAGTGCCAAATGAGCTGTACAATGCCTCCATAACGGATAATGATATTGCGCTGATCTTTGTCACGCCGCCCTTTCCCCTGGACAGCCAACGCAAAATTGCGATCATTCAGGTCGCCCCGGAGCTGCCGGCCGTGGGCACATTGGCCACCGTCTCAGGCTGGGGCATGACCACAGAGGATGGTTTCGGCTCCACGCAGCTACGGCAGGTGCAGGTGCCACTGGTGGACAGAGACGTCTGCAAGGCTGCCTACAATTGGCGCCCCATTACCGAGGGCATGCTTTGCGCCGCAGCGTCTGGCGGTGGCAAGGATGCCTGTCAGGGTGACAATGGCGGGCCGCTGGTCGTGGACAACAAGGTTGTCGGCATTGTGTCCTTTGGCGAGGGCTGTGCACGTGCCCAGTATCCGGGTGTTTATGCCGCCGTGCCTTTTTTCCAGGAATGGATTGCCGAGCAGCGCGCGGCACATGCCTGATTACCAAATGATTGCGCGATGGCCGTAAAAGTAGTATTTAGCTTTATCGCCCATGTTATATGTATCCAGTAAAGTTTATATGGCAGCCAGTTAAATGATCTAATCTTCGATGACCGGCGTTGATAAGTGGCTTTACCCTATTGCTCGTAGCTGGGCTCTTTGGGTCTGGTCTGGTCAGTCTTTCAGCTGTTTTTCAACATGGTGCACGCGCTGCTGCTTGGCCTTTGCCTTGGCCTTTGGGTCTGTGCCTGGGCACATCCGCTGCAGGATATCGATTTGAGTTCGCCCAATGGACGCATTGTGGGCGGCTATGAGACGCACATTGCCCTCTATCCGCATCAGATTTCGCTGCGTCGCAAGGCAATTACCGCACCAAAGAATCCCTTTTCGCATATCTGCGGCGGCTCCATAATTGCCGAGGATATCATTGCAACGGCGGCGCACTGCATTATTGCCACGGTCCCAAGTCAGTATAAGGTGGTCGCTGGCACCAGTCGCCGCAATGGCAGCGACGGCATCATTGTCTCCGTCTCCGAGATCATCATGCACGAAAAGTACAACCCGGCTAACTATGATAATGATATTGCGTTGCTACGCCTGAGTTCGCCGCTGCCGTTGAACAACTTTACAATCCAGGCCATTGAGCTGGCCAGTACGGACGCGACACCAGGTGCCATTAGCACCATTACTGGCTGGGGCACCACCAGTGCCGGCGGCACTGCATCCGATCAATTGCGCGCTGTCGATGTGCCCATTGTCAGCAATGAGCTCTGCGATGAGGATTATGGTGGCAACCGCATTACGGCGGGCATGCTGTGCGCGGGTGTGCGCGGCGATGGTGGCAAGGATGCCTGCCAGGGCGATTCTGGTGGTCCGCTGATCATTGGCAACAAGCTGCATGGCATTGTCTCATGGGGCAACTCATGCGCCTTGCCCACACATCCGGGCGTCTATGCCAAGGTCTTTTATTATCTCGATTGGATCGCGTCCAAGTTGCCTTGAACTCGATCTAGCTAAAAAAAAATCCTAGGAATTCAAGCATCCAATTGTGTCACATGCCTGAATAAACTTGTAAATGTCGCCCAACTGGCCGTGTTTGATGACTTATCATTTTCCATTTAATCAGCTAAGATTAGGGCAATATTACTCCAATAGGGTTACTTTTTGGTGTAAGGCTTTGATTGCCCTTATCTAGATTACGGGTGCTGCTTATGAGATTACCAAACCTTGAAAAACCCCAATTGAATAACTCACTAGGTATGTTTCTTTTGGCATTGTTTAAGCCGATTGCCAAAAGTATGCAATAAAAATTGAGCAATGCCAGCGAAGCACGGGTAGATCGATATATTTTTTGAAAATCGATTAAAATTTGTTGCGGCCGTTATTCCAAGTTCTTTTCAAAAAGCTTAATTTTATTTAAACTTGACGGAATAGCTTGGATTTAATCTAAGTATTTCACTTTAAATAGTAAAAACGGAATGTAACAAATTGTTTCGTAATTAATCAGAGAAAATCAAATTAAATATGATGAAATATAAATAAATCTTGATTAATTCCAAATAAACTAGAGTAGGTAGAATTAATCTAATTAAATAAAAAATGTTCGTTAATAAGACAACATATTTCGGGATAGTTGGGGAATTTTGAATAATACGGAAGAAACGGAATAAAGAAAAGGAAGAAACTAGCTGGATATAAATCGTATCCAAAAACAATTAAATAAAATAATTCCGATTAGTTAAAGATATTGTCAAATTGCCAGAGAATGCAGTTCTTGAAAGGGGAGTCTTTCCTATATACAAAATATTTGGTATAAAATCCGAAATGTGTGACATATGCGAACTTTTCCAACGACTGCGCCAATTTAGTAAAGCTTCGTGAACCTATGAGTACGTAGCACGAGATAATCCAAAATCGGTTAAAAGCTTAAACAAAAATAAACGTAACGATGAGCGTAAACAGTCTTAAAACGTAGCATATCAGATATTGGCAGTTCCATTCACTTGCAGTTGCCATTGGAGCTTCGTTATCAGGACGGACCCTGTACACGGGCCTATCTCTAACAGCGGCTATTAAGCTAATCTGGCCGAATACCATTGGAAAAATGCAAACGGCTAAAACTACACGCCTATAAAATGTAATTAGTTCGATATGTGCCGATCGCTCGAGCAGATGCCAACGACGAGAAGAAACATGGATATTTTACGGTTCAGCCTGATGCTGCTCTTCGCGCTGGCAGCTGTTGTTGCTTGGGGCTCTGAGGTGCGTCCCGAGGCGCGCATCATCAATGGCTCCAAGGTGGACATAGCCCGCCATCCGTATTGCGTTTCGCTGCGCTTTCGGCGCAACAACGAATCCGCTTACCTGCACGAATGTGCGGGTGTCATCTACTCGGAACGTGCGGTTCTGACCGCGGCTCAGTGTCTGAATGATCTGGCCGAGGGTACCAAGCTGTTGGTGCTTGCTGGCGCCAATACCCGCAATGGCAGCGATGGATTGGTTTACCCCGTCACCAGCTGGAGTTACCATCCAAATTTCACCACCATCACTGCAGACTATGACATTGGCGTGCTCGTGCTGGATACACCCTTTGATCTTAACTACTATGGCATACGCAAAATTGGATTGCGTCCGGAACGCCCTGCCACTGGACGGAATGCCACTGTGGTTGGCTGGGGCTATCGTGAGGAATGGGGTCCCTCTAGTTATTATCTGGAACAGGTGCATGTGCCCATCGTTAGCTCGGAACAGTGTAATAGTATCTATGGTGCTGGTGAGGTTACCGAACGCATGATCTGCGCTGGTGATGTGGCCCAAGGTGGTCGCGACGCCTGTCAAGGAGACACGGGCGGTCCATTGATCATAGACGAACAGCTAGTGGGTCTTGTCTCCTGGGGTCGTGGCTGTGGCCGCCCTGGCTATCCCACAGTTTATACGTACGTTCCTAGCCTTAAAACGTGGATCGATGAAACTCTGGAGGCCGCCGGAGCGCTATAAATGTGCGCTGATAGCCGCTATCAAAAGTTGTTAAACACGCTAATTATGTGGCTTTCCATTACCAATTTACCGCCCATTTAATAATAAAACAAACTATTTAGTACCTACTGGATACAATTTGGTTTCGCCGAGGAGCGAACTGAGAGCAGGTGAACATTTCTTTTAATTAGAAAAGTTGCCCAAATAAGCTGAGCGCATTGAGAAGAGGCGTCTTAAGTTATCTTATCTACATCTATCGTCTATTCGCGGACAGTTGGAAGCAAAAAGAAATTGCCACTTAAATCTAAATCAAAACAAAGACAGTGAAAAATATTGATTTCCACTCTCTTTGGGTAATGTTAATGGTCGTTGCTTGTGCACTCTCGAAAGCTGACTGCTATAGACATGCTTGACGAAGAAACATTTGGCGTTTGATTGAACAAGCAGTTTTTGCGATAGTTCTTAAACTTACGATACATCGCAACGGCTTTTTAAGCGTGTAGATCACAACCTGCATTATTTAATCGTCTTTAATACCTGTTATCAGTTAATACTGGTAAAGCCCACAATCAAAGATTAGACCGCAGTTAGTTTATTATGTTTACAAGTTCTTAGATTATGCCAGAGTTGAGCATTTATAGAAATTCAATACTACCCACATTGGCCTTGGAATTACGAGTAGCCAGTATCCATTCCCGCAATTCGGGAACGGCAGCATAAACGCCAGGATATTTGGCACGCGCGCATCCTGTGCCCCACGAAACAATGCCCAACAGCTCATTGTTGTAGATCAGCGGACCACCCGAGTCGCCCTGACAGGCATCCTTGCCGCCGCCATCAACGCCGGCGCACAGCATGCGACCGGTTAGCATAATGGAATACGAGCTCTTGCATTGAGCGTTCTCAACCAAATTGACTTCCACTTGCTGCAGTATGTTGGATATAACACCGCCTTCGCTGGTCGTGCCCCAGCCGGTTACAATGACGGGTGTGCCATGCTCCGGACGCTCCTTGGCCAGTTCGATGGGCTGCACAGCTTCATTGAACTCGAAATCACCATCCAACACTAGAACGGCGGTGTCGTAGTCCTGATACAGGGACTTGTACTTCTCGTGTATGATAATTTCGCGTACAGCCAACTCCTGGCCTTCTGGCCAGATTGTTTGGGTGGTACCAGCTATGATCGTGAGATCAGCCACACCTGACAGCGTATTCACACAATGAGCAGCGGAAACGATGATGTTGCTGGCAATTATTGAGCCTCCGCATCTATGATTTCCCCTGTACCTCATGGATATTTGATGCGGATAGCTACGTATGTCCGCATCCTGACCACCCACAATGCGACCATCGGGCATTGGCACACCGCTCTGAAAAACGGTGCCAGCCAGCGATAATCCGAAAAGGCACAAACCGATCAAGATGCGAAACATAACTTCTAAGAACTAAAGCGAATTTTTGAGTGCTGTGTGCTTTTATAGAAGGCTTATCATTAGATTAATACCTTAATCAGCCAAAATGAAAGCAATAATAGAAGGGTCATAAATCTATCTGGAATGTCATGAAGGTGTGGTCTTATCGATGGTCTGTGGTTGTGATACGACCAGCTAATTTTGCCAAATTTCGAAGGCTGATCGCTATGAAATCTAACGGTCACACTTAGCGATTAACGTCGATAACAAATAATCGAAGTGGGAAAATAACAGTAACATATTTAAAAACTAATTTATGTTAAAGAAAATTTGGAAGATGAAGATAAACTAATGTACAATGAAAACTTCAATTTAAGTAAATGAGGTTTCAAACAAAAAAAAAAAAACATGGTATGGATAAAAAAGCATATCTATATTTTTAAATATAACAGTAAATTATATTTGAAACAATGCCTTATATACTCCAAACTTTTTAGAAGTGTACTGGCAGCGATAATTGAATTCATTCCAAGAAGGTGTCACTTTAGCACTAAGCGTGTACTTATATGATCTAGTGGGTAAGCACCAACGACTACTTTTTGGTCTGATTCATCAATCATATTTATGAGTAAGTACATGTCAGCGTAATCTTTAAATAAACTTATTGACACGATATAGTAGCAGTCCAATATTTGTTTATATCGAAACATAAAAATTATATGGGAAACATAAAAATCTTAGCTATAAGCGCTTATCATGGAAGCAATTTTTTTTTTTTGGTGCTTGGGTACTTGGGCCCGATTATAAATCTCGGCGCTGGACAACCAGGCGACGACGATTTTAATCTATAGACGAGTTAAAGGGTATAAGGAATAAGATTACATAAATCGCAGACATCTCAGTGAAGTAGCAAAGTTCATTGCAAATAAAATGAAAATGACTCAACGTAATTTAGTGATAATTTTTTGAGGGGTATAGTACTACTTATGCGAAATAATGTCAATTATGTGAACTTGTTTGTTTGATTTGTGTTTTCTTTTGTTTCTTTTTTTTTGCTATATCGTAAAAGACTTATCGTAGAGCTTATGGGGCTATGGTTTAATTATGGGTTAGAATTTCTCTTTAGAAGACCACCGACCGCCATGTTTATAATGGATATAAAACAGTTGGTCAAATAAACTTTATAATATCGTAGAATTCCCTAATTGAAATCCGTGGGTATTCGTGGATTTCGTGCGATTTCGGGTAAGCAGCGATAAGCACGGCACAGCCCATATATAAAGCCGTGGGCCATCCATGAATTAACATTAGAGTCTTTGAATTTGCTTAATGTCGTCGTGTTTTGGATTAATCGTTTTGGGCCTGCTTTCGCTAGCGGCCTTGAACAGTGGCGCCTCCATTAGCACCCACATTGTGGGCGGCATCGAGACGGATATTGTGAACTATCCGTATCAGGTGTCGGTGCGTCTGGAAACGTACATGCTGCTGCACATTTGCGGTGGCAGCATCTATGCACCACGTGTGGTATTGACCGCTGCCCATTGTATTAAGGGACGCTTCGCCTCGTACATACGCATTGTGGCCGGAAAGAATTCCATAGCCGATCTGGATGAGCAGGGCGTGAAGGTCACCAAGCTGATTTATCACAGTGGCTACAATAAGAAGACTCATGTGAATGATGTGGGCATGATAATAACCACCGAACCACTGGCTTACTCCAGTCTAGTGCAGCCGATTGCTTTGGCTGTAGACTCGCCCGCGCCGGGCACTCACGCTATTGTCAGCGGCTGGGGCAAGCGCACCGAGGAGGATGAAGCACTGCCAGCCATGTTGCGAGCGGTTGAAGTTGAAATTATGGACACCAACACCTGTGGCGCCCAGTATCTGACCAAGGATTACACTATCACCGATGAAATGTTGTGCGCTGGCGTTGACGAGGGCGGCAAAGATGCCTGTCAGGGTGATTCCGGTGGTCCATTGACTGTGGATGGCATATTAGTGGGCATTGTGTCCTGGGGCGTGGGCTGTGCTAGGGAAGGCTTTCCCGGCGTGTATACAAGTGTCAGGCACCACACCGCTTGGATTGAAGAACAGTCTGCTCCTTACCTGTAAGGAATCGGGCGTTATGTTGTGTATGCGAGCTGAAAAACGAACAAAATAAGCGAACAAATTAAATTAACATTATTATAAATATAATTATACCAAAATAAACAATTAAATTGAACATTACAAAAGTATTTTGAATCTCCGAGCTAATTCAAATGTACACAGTTATTTTTATTTGAGTTAAATTGGCAGCACTGTACTTGCAGTATTTTTTTTACGGTATTTTCTTTTTTCACCCAGTCACATAGTTTAGATATTTCACGATTGCTGCCACGCGGTCACATTGCCTTCGAGAAAACTCGTGAAGTTACAACAAAAAAGAAAAAAAGAGACAAGAATTAAAATTTTAATATTACTGGATTGTAAACAAGGTATATTACAATTATGTCGCTATTTGGTGCGTTAATGGGCGATTTCGACGATGATCTTGGATTCATGAAGTAAGTTGGCAAATAACCATGTCGATGTAGGTATTCAACTAAGTAGTTGTTGTTTTTGGGGCGTGGAAAATTTGCAAGAAAATTGTCAAAGAAAATTGCCCAAATGTACGAAACGAGCCAGACATTTGGGCTTAAAATTGCTGGTTGTGAGCTTTTCAATTTAAATTCAATTGCTGATTAGGTGCTCCGCTGGGCAGTGCGTGCGTTGCGGTGTGTTTGTCAATTTTACACAATACACACAACACAGTTTTTCGTTTTGCGTGTGTGTGTGCGTGTGTGTGTGTGTGCCTGAGTGAGAGTGTTAGTGCGCAGCTTGCCGTCGTTAAAGCAGTCGCAGCAGCAGGAAGAAAAGACAAGACGAGGGCCCGCAATTAATCGATATTTTCGATTGCACGCTTGCGGCTGTCAATATAATTAAGATTAGTTCAGCTTGATTGCAAAAACAACAACATATAGGCTTATACGTCATATCATGTTCTAGATTTCAGACATAACGTCATTTCCTTTTAATTCTATTCATTATGTCATTTGCGTCTTATTTAAATATCAACTTAAAATACATTTTTCTATTTAATATGCTCTATTGTTTTACCTCTTGCAAAGTAAGCTTGTCACTGAATCTATAACATGTCGAAGCAGATATCTCCGACTCCATTCAGTTGTTAAATATTCTTTAGTATTAACCACGAAGCAAATCTAACCATATCTGTCTGTCTGACCATGCAATTAATTACTTTAATTACATACTAATTACTTGATCGGATCGGACCATCTTATCATGTAGCTTCTTGCAAATTGATTTATAAAATCTCCAAAACTAAACTCCAGACATTACATTTTTACGAGAGTTTTCACAGCTGTTCTAAATAAGTGAACCTGAAAGGCATATTTGGAGTACTGTTATCGCCAAAAAGGCCAACGTATAAACGTAACTGAAACAGCAGGCTAACATTCATATATCATGTCTGTTTTGACAATCCCTGTCCGTCCGGTTATGTTTTCATTTGAATAGTTTTCAGTTCTTGAAATGTTAAATCAGACATCATTTGATTTTGTAATTCCTTATTTCGGCGTACTTTATTTGAGTTATGAAACGCAAACGAAATTCAAGCCGCAAGAAAAAAACTGAGACTCAAGAAATGGACACAAAGTTTGTAATTCTCTTGTAAGTTAAACAAAAACTAAATGCGTTTTCTTTGTGTATTCACAGCAATCACATGAACCATCACATGAACGCCATGAATATGCAAATGCGTTCGATGAACCGCTTGATGAACTCTTTTATGCCCGATCCGTTCAATATGCTGGGACCATCGCCATTTGATCCTGGCTTTCAGCAGGGCGCATTGATGGAGCGCGGCCAACAGTCTATGGCTCCCATGGGCGGCGGTCTATTTGGATTTCCAGCTATGCCCGGTTTTAATCGTTTGATTAATGCCGGTACGTCTTGATCAAATTTTAAATAGAATTTCTTAACTTATGCTTTGCACCTACAGATATTGGCGCTAATAATGGCGCATCGTTTTGCCAAAGCACCGTGATGACCATGTCCTCGGGTCCAGATGGACGACCGCAGATTTATCAGGCTAGCACTAGCACCAAAACCGGACCTGGAGGTGTGCGTGAAACACGCAAGACGGTTCAAGATTCGCGCTCGGGACTTAAAAAGATGGCCATTGGTCATCATATTGGCGAGCGCGCACACATTATCGAAAAGGAACAGGACTTACGCTCTGGCCAGCTGGAAGAGCGTCAGGAGTTTATAAATTTGGATGAGGAGGAGGCCGAGCAATTTGATCGCGAGTTTACCACTCGCGCCACACGCGGCATCATGCCACACGGAAGTGGCCATGGCGGCTTGCAGGCCATACGCGGCGCTCGCCCAACTGCTGGGGGCTCAACAGTCACCATTGAGCCGCTTGACGACGATGATGACGATTGTGTGATTCAAGAGCCGCCTCGCACAGGCCGTCAATTGCCCGCTTTGCCAGCGCCTCCAACAGCACCGCATAGCAGGTGAGCTTAAGTGGCTTTGATATATCTCCTGTCAGCCGTTTGCAGGTTTAACGCGTCGCATTTCGTGAGTTGCATTAGATTTGATTGTTTTCAACATTTCGTTCCACTTGACACTCAAGAGCTTTGGCCTTTAACACGCAATGTTTAACACAAATATTAACAAATGGATATGTCTTGTGACGATGCTAGATGATTATTTTTATATGTTGCTATTATTGCTTAACATGCTCATAACAGCGCGGGATCTAAAATAATGTTGGATCTAAAATAATGTTAGGAACCATACTAAAATCTTGAAAATAGAGCTTTTCCATGCTATTTGTTATACACTCTGTTAAATTTATAAATAATTATATTACTATATATATTGACAATTGGAATTGTCCTTTAAAAATCATGATTTTTAAACCGTCCGCTTATTAACAGCCGTGCAACATGTTACTTTACAGAGCTCCAGTTACAGCTATTTTAGGGAGCATTAACATATTTGCAAATCCGTTTTTGATTCAAAAAGCTTAAATATTTTGATTTGTTATTGACTGCAGACTGTTTGCACAAGGCATGTCCAAGACACGATCGTAACACACTTTTCAGATTTAGGCTGTTTCCTTTTTGTACCCTTTCTTTGTCACAATGCCCGCTAAATTAAAACGTTTGTATTTACTTGCAGATATAATAATTACTAATTCAAGCAAAGTACATACAGTATATTTTACTAATTATATATAAATATATATACATATATATATATTTATCAGAGTCAAAGAATCCCAATGCAATTGCATATATTAACAAAAATTTCTGCTTTTACATTCCTACTACGTTCAAATACTAAAAGATAAATTAAAAAAGAGAACAATTTGAGGTAGGCGGCAAAGCAATTTGTAATTATATAATAATTTTCATCATTTTCCAAATGCAATTCTTTTTTTAGTTAGTTAAATATAATTTTTAGTTCACTTCATATACCATTAACATACATATTACGCATACACGTAAAGACCCACAACGCGTTACGTTTATGAATTGCAACGTTATTTCAAGTTTAAAAAAAAGCTACCACTACTACTACCAACCGTTTACTACCCATAGTAACACAGTTTAAGTGCCCGAAAGACATTCGCCAAATGAGTTTTGTTGTAATCTCTTTTAAATTTTCTTCGCATCGATTCCATACGGCGACACCAACAACAGCAGCGACACTGTAGCAGCAGCAGCAACAACAACTTCGCCACGTCGTGCCATTACAACAACAACGACACCAACAGTGTCTTCGCCCCCAACTTTCGACGTAACAAACAACAACAACCACTATTTGAGCACCGGAAATATGCCAGCATCGCGTCGCGCCTATTTGCGCAACGGTCAGCATTTGGCCACGCCCCGTCGCCCGCTACGTACGCCTTCCTCGTCACCGCTGGCCACCGTATCCAGCGCTAGTCACAGCATTGCCGGCACGCCAAGGTTTGTTCGCATAAGCAAAACAAGACAACAACAACAGCAACATTCAACCAAATGAAAGATACATATTTCCACAACTAGGCCCCAGAGATCTGCCTAGTTTCCAAATAAAAGGCAACGATAACTTTATGTTATCATAATGTTAACCTTACGTCATTTGCCTGTATGCAAAGTTGAGCTTTTAATTACATTTCGCAAACTATAGAATCGTCGCATATAGAACAATAAATCGTCGTCTCCGTTAGCTTGCCTTGAATCAATTTTAAACCTTTTCTTAAGAAACCTATGAAATTCTAAATTTATAAAACCAAAAGTGGAATTTCCGTTATCAATCCTTACCCTTCGTTACGTTACGCTATTTGGCTGTTCACCATTTTGAGCTTTTTCCTACGCTAAGACATAGTTGCTAAACTATATGATAACTTTTATATCTTTAATAACAACTTTTCGCTCTGTTTCTCTCTCCTCTCTACCAACATATAAAAATATATATTGCGATTCTAATGCAGAGATTGGCGTTTATATAATTCACGTTTCTATCGCAAGTAGAAATATATATGCATAATATATCATAAACTATAATCAATACACACATAAATCTATAATATACACACCACAATGTAATTGAGCAACCATCAGCGATATTATTGACGCGCTACGTCCAACTACGTAATTACAACTACCTACTAACCAGTCACGGCGTTTGGCGACGACGCTTCAATTTTTCCTCGCTGCGCTCCGCCATGAAAAATCATCGCTGCGACGCTACGCATCATCTACGTTACACATCTGCAACGTCACACACGTCGTTACGTGTCAAATGCTACGTGTAAGGCCGCCTGCGAAACTCAAAACAAATAACAGCTATGTACATAAATTCTACTACTATACACATTCTCTATATAGTTATTGTAAAACAAATAAGGCGACGTACACGTAATCAGCATGTTGCGTCACAATTGTCTTATTTGCGTATTACGTAAGCCCTTCACATAAAATACCAAAAATAGTATTCCTTCAGTTCCAAGTTGAAGAGCCGCGTGTTGGACACTTATTGTTTGGTTGCCTTTTGACAAATTCCATTACGTTTTTCATTTACCTCTTACGCATTAAATCATCGTTACGTTACGCTACGCTACGTCACACAACGCTTAATTGGTCAACGTTACTCACATATATATATTCTCTACGTACTACGTGACACAACTACTACGCTTATCAAAATTCTAACGCTGTTGTTGCTGCGGTGCTGCTGCTGCTGCTACGTTTTGTTGTCTTTCGTGGGGGAGACTGCTGCAATAACAAACATATTAACTGCGTACCTTTCATAATACGTAACGGTGCGACCGAAACTGACCGCCCGCCCGCCCACTCATCCAGCTTACGCCTCTCTTTGTCATCTGAATAACACACTATCGCCTCGCCTCGCTCTCACAATTTTAAGATTTACGTTCGAATTGGCCTGTGTACGGAATGATTATAATTACTCTATAAATCTCTTACGTTTTCATATTTTATTTACCTATTACGTATTCTTTGCGCTGCCAGTTACGTTACGTTATTAATGTTTTCCTCTCTTTAAACAGCATACATCCACATCCCTATGCTGCAAATCCCGCTGCCGCTCGTCGCCAGCAACGCCTAAAGCATCACCACCAACAGTCGAGCGCCACACGTGGATTGGAGGATGCGAGCGAGCCCCGTGTCAAATCGGCTAAGCGGAATAAACCTCAATAATAGGATGTGGGCAAGGATACACACACACACACACCTAACAGCACACAACACATACCTAACAGCACACACAGACAGCGTTAGTTTAGCCTCCAATTGCAAAGCGCAAACTTATAGTACATGTTATCGATCACAGTCATACACACACACACACACACACACATACAAACACACACATTTCTAATTATATGTTAATACCTTCTATTAGATTCGCGTATCTGCAGTGTGCGCGTTTTCCCCACTTTATACCAATGATTTTTGGCCAGGCCAAACCAAAAATCAAATTGACTATTTCCATATTTTTAGCGACAACGCGTGTCTCAGTTTTGTATTAAAATATATTTGGCACAGAGCGTGACACGCAGGCTCGCGAATCTGCGATAACACTTTGTAATCAATAGTTTTTCGGACGCCGGGCAACTGTTCACACCCCACACGAACAATACAAACACTTACAATCCCCACACCCACATCTAAAATGTTAATGAAAATTTTTAGTTGTATTAAAGTTAAAAAAAAGCTCTAATTTTAAGTTGAATCGTTTAAAATATTCTCAAGATTTTAGTTATTTATAGAGCGTAAGCTGAACTCTATACAGAGGAGTGCAAGCTTAATATCTTGCAGCGACAAGGATTAAGCCGCCTCCTAAACTATAAAACCAATATTATTAAGGCATAACTAAATGTTTATGTGAATTTAATTAAACGAAAATACATACACACATAGTAAATTTAAAGCGTAAACAATATGTAACTACTTAATTCATCCTCTCCTGTGCCTAAAGTTGGTCTAATCAATCATTTCCATTTGCGTCTCTTCGGACTCTCGCCAATTGCGCTGCACCATTTCCACAAGCTGCTTCCAAAATAGCGTCTGCCGCACGTAGTTGGCCAGGCAGATCAGTATAAATGCCCAAGCCAAGATCAAATAAAAATCTGTCGTCACTGTCGGTACCGAGGCCAGCGGGCCGTCTTTTGCCCACGCCAGAATATAGGGACGTAGGGTCCTTGGATTCACATACTTGAGGTTCGTGTGGCGCATTATGAAGCTGGGCACGCTGACATTTTCATTACTAGGCGGATCATACTTGATAAGCGGCCGTCCCTGATGGAATATCATCAACGTGGGCAGCGATGCAATGCCAAACTCTGCATTGAAACGTGTAAACTCGTAGGCATCAATATAGGCCACAGGCAGCGTTGGAAACAGATGTGGTAAGAGATTGACATATGCCGCCACGCGAGCGCACTCCAAGCTGGTGGGTGTGCAGAAGTGTACTAAAACGCAGCTGCCCGGCTCATGTCGCTTGGTAGCATTCCCTATTGGCTTCAGAAGATTCACAATGTCCTTGGCGCTCTGCATGATCAGCAACTTGGGCACAGTTACGACGCCAGCTTGCGGCGCTGGATCCGGCTGCAGGCATTTGATCATAAGCGGAGGCTTGCGTTGCTGCGGCAGCTCCGACAGATGCACTATATGCTCATCATCCGGAAAACAGATGTGTCGATCCTGCATCAATGCATACGACTCGAAGCTGTAGGGGCACTGGCCCCGGGTTACCCTGCCCAGCGCCGCGGATCCTGTGCCGTTCGATTGCAGATTGAGACCAAAGTATTGCAGAATACCTAGCAGACCAGACAGCTCTGCCTGAGCTCGCGCCGCAAACAGGCCTACTTATACAGATAAAAAACTTGATTGGAGCATAATACACTTTCGTTATAAACTCACCCAAAAATATTAATATTAATAAATTTACATTTGGATGCATTTTTGTTTTGCTTGGATACAGTGTGGCTGCATGCGTGTAGCGACAAAATACTTTTAAATACTAAATAACTTTAAGGGCAACACTTGCTAGGTTTTAGGGTGTCCCAACAGAAAATACCGAAATTCCCATTAGCAAATATTCAATACTAAAAAAAAATACTGTAAAGCTCATTGCTACGAAACGTGCGCGCTCAAATTTAAAGTATCCTTTTGGTAAACTTTATAAATTAAGCACTAAATTTATGGGACCGCAAGTGCGTTGTTGTTGCCTTGTCCTTCGACTCAGCAGTGTGGCAATTATGCAGGGTCATAAACACGCACACAGCCTGTCTCCACCAAACGCACACAACAGACGCAAAGCTATTCCTACTCAGCACTTTCAGTTAAAATTGTATACCCTATCCAAATTGTAAATAGGGTATGCAAATTTAAAAAGCTTGTATTGCTAAAACGTTTGACAGAATCAAACATAAGACAGACTATTTGGTAGGGTAAAATCATGTGTAGATATCAGTGTGTATATATTATGTAGACTATATATATACTCTATAAATACGGGTATAAAGTAGTCAAGTGCACATCAGGCGTGCAGCTTGTTGTTGCTGCTGCTGGAGACCCGGTGTTTATATGTTTTCGTTTTTCGTTTTTAAAAACGGCAACATCAATTTATCATGCTGAAGTGGTGTCCATATAAGCGGAAGTTGTTCTCCTACAAGCTGCCTGCGCACAGGCCATGCCAGGCGTATGCACAACAACAACAGCAACAGAAATGTGCGACCTTTTGTGGCTTTCTTTTTGAGAGGCGTGTGGTGGGGTGGCTTGGGGTGTCGCAACTATTTTCAACATTGTGCACACATTTCATTCATTGAGTGCATGTTGAGCATATTTACAACTAGTTACAGAACGATGATGATGACGCCGACAAGCCAACTGTGCTGTTAAAAGGCACTTTATGCGCATTTATGAGATTTTATGGGGCCCATCTTAAAACGTCAGTAGTGTTCCTGTTTCTTATACCCTATGTGGATTAAACAACAGTAAAATGGGTATAATGGGTCAACTGTGCTCCAACTGTTCTCCAAATCGATAAGTATCGATTGCCAAGACTCCTTTTTTTTTTTTTAGCTTTAAGAATAGAAAAAATTTGATGTGTAGAGTCTCGTATGCCCGAACTCTCATGCAATTGCCTCAATTTTGATAAGGAATTGATAAAAATAGAAATATATACATTTTAAAACATTTATCTGTAAAGTTACATAGACAAGTTTCTAACTAAAGGGCATACACAAGTCAAAAACTCTGGACTAATTTTTTTTCAAAGTGCTTTTGTTCTGACTGAAAATGCGTTGATAATTATCTTCTTGGGAGCAGTTGCGTGGAGCGGCGGCAACGGCATTTGCAATCAAATGAATTCAATTGAAAATTTGTGCCATTCCCTTCGATGCCTAGTTATTTACAACTTGAATTTGAACAGCGTCTGTGGGCGGTCTGAGCGTGGGCTGTCGGCCAAATCGGAAGTATTTCTGGTGTCTGCATCGGTGCGAGCTCCGAGGGGTTGCCCGGAGCCAGTCGCCAAGTCGAAGACCAAGTCGTCGAACTTCTTGCAGGGCCAGGCACTCGATATGTGACACTGACGACGGCAAAAACACCAACAACAAAGCTGGCTGCGCTTTTCTTCAACTGATAAAGATAAGACCAAGGAGTTGAGTGCTCTCTGCAAGAGTCTTGAGGCAAACTTTTGCCAGCCTTTGCGGTTGCTGCTGCCGGCTGCCGGCTGCCGCTGCTCAAGTTGGCCAGCATTTTGTGACAATTTATTTTCTATGCTTTGGCGTTTGCTTTCAACAAATCGAAAAACTATTAAATTGGGCTGTGAGCCAAAAAGATAACAAAAATAAAAAGAATCCAGTGTGAACAGCCGAAGCTTCAATACCCTAACTGCCAGCTGCAGTCCGCTTCCACGTGCTCAGCACTCGCATCATTTGTGTTATTTACATAGATCGATAAATTATGCACAGCTGACAAATAGTCCAGACATCGGCTTATCGTTGGAGTTGTTACAGTACAAACTAAGGTCTTATACATATGTTTACAAAACATGACTTATGACCATATTGCTAGTCCGATAATTAATCGATAGTTGCGATATTTCACTAAGCTTTGCACTGCTTTGCATATGAAATGTATCCGCAGCAAGGGTATTTCGACAAAAGTCTTGCACGCTGTTCGCAGCTAGAAAATTTCACTGGCTGACAGTCACGCGATTTCGCCATGCTTTGGCACATTTGATATCAACTAGAACTTTTCACCTTTGCACGCCGCTGACAGGCCGTCGACGACGTCTGCTTAATTGGATAGGAAATGGCAGAGTTTGGTCAAGGCAGCGGGCCAGCTGCGATACGATCTCTGAAAGAGCCAAGTGGATACGATGAACGTGTTATAAAGCATACAAAAAAATGTACCATTTTAAGTTGATTGCCCATTTTAAACATTTTTCACATTTATAGCTTAAGCAATATTGGTACTATTTTAGTTTTTATAAATAGCCATCAAAGAATCGTTAAAATTTCCCACAATCGATAAGAATCGATTACCAACCTCCGCTTATCATCCATATCTGTAGCATATCTTTAAGGTTATATGATTTGAAGAGCGAAAGTTATCCGGTACATTCTTCTAGAACATGCACAGATCATTTTAAGAGGTCTTATTTTTGTAACATTCACATATTTGAGTGATATCTTTAAGTTTCATGTTTCAAGTTTTATAAAATTTGCGCAATAAGCACAAAATGTTTGAAAAATTCAATTATCTAAAGCCAGGTCAAAAGTAAACGCTGCCAACATATATACTCAGGAAATGTAGAGCTGTGTATTGGGTATTATTTAGCTTGGAACCACGAGCTAGACGCTTCTCACCTGTAATGTCTGGACACATCCTCAATTGCCAGTGCCTCGCAGTTGGTCAACAGCCTTGCGCACACATTAACAACCGGCGGCACATACTATTTGTATATCTATAAATATGGGCGTGCTTAAAAAGAATAAATAAAAAAATAAATAAAAGATAAAAATGTTCATTGAAATGGGCTGCCTGACAACGCTGACAGACTGCTGAAGGCGAAGACTAAACTAATTAAAACTTTTCGGTTTTCTGGGCTCCGGCTAAGCCATATGGCTGGCAATGGGTTCGACTTGAGGCTACCGGAACCTGGCATAAATTACGCATTGAAATCACGTAAATGCTGGCAAATTTAATCAGCCTGACATCACAGTGCGGCTGGTTACTAAGCAAAAATTAAATCTAACAACATAACCAAATAAGGACACAAAAAATCCACAAAAAAAAAGAAATCCAATAAAAAAAAAAAAATTGTTAGTGTCAAACGTACAAAAAATTTGCACACAGCTACGTGACTTCAATTTCTCACTCAGCCGCAGCGCCGTACCGGTCCTAGATTGCCCACAAAGGTGTCTCTCTCTCTGTGTGTGTGTGAGTGTGTGTGTGTGTGTGTATTAGGGTGTTGTGTTTTTCGGTTCAGCTTTGCCTGCCTCTGCCGAACTTTTAATCCTTTGCACTTTTGTCAATGCCAGTCGGGTGGGCCAATGACAAACACGAACCAGAAACCGAAAAAACACATGAAAGATACCATCGAAAGGATGTTTATGTCTATATGCCCTTACCATAGGAAGTACTCAATTGATCAGCCCGTGGCGAGCCAGTCTATATGCACTTGTACTTTTACTCTTTCTGTCTTGTTCATTTTACAGACAATGTACTTAACATGTTTTTTTCTTTTTGAGATTTCACGACTGCTTCTTGTAAACTAAAACAAAGGGTTTTTAAAGGCTTGGAATGTTTTCAGATGGTATCAGATACTTTGGTTAATTACAAATAAAAACTTGAATTCAAATCCTGCAATAGTCTGAATAATCTATTTATTATTTACGTTGCTTCAGAAAAATATTATATAATTAGTTCAAGGCACTAGGCCAAAAATGTTGTAGAATTAAGGTAGTTCATAGGATTCCTAGTTTTTAACTTTCATAAAGATTGTCTCTTAATGATATATGTATGTATGATATTCGATTTAAAGCAATGGCTACAATTTATACATCTCAGTATATATCTTTAAAGTTAGTTAACAAGTGAATTGATTTATTGATAAAGCAAATGGAATTTACAAATATTTATAAGCTTAACAAATAGAGTATTCAAGAGTATACAATGTATATACCTCAGAATTATAATTGACTCAAAAATGTTTGCGTTGCAAACCTGATGCGAGTTTTGTAGGTAAATCCCTTTAGAGTGTGTCACACAACATGCTTCTACGTATTCTCGCATAGTTTCTACCACAATGACATTTCAGTTTGGAAAACAAAAAACAAAAAAAGGGGGCAGCCAATAAAATTAATTGATTTTGAGGTTTTCCATTTGCCGTGTGCAAAGCGATTTTGATTTTTAGTCTCGACAGTCAGCCGCGGTTGACAGAGACTATTGGGTCAGCGCTTACATGCGAATTGCCTTTTCAAAGTGTCTTAAAGCTTTTAACAAAATTTACAGTGTACAATTTAAAATTTAATATTCATTATAATTCGTGTGGCAATCAAATTAAATGACCGCAAACAGCAGAGTGTGACCGCATTCTGTTATGCTAGCAATGCCAAAAATGTTCAAATATCAAATTGCAACCGCAAAAGCTGGCAAAGTTGTTGCGAGGTCTTTCGGTTAGCAAATTGTCAATGTATTTGGCTTTGCTTATGAAAAAGCTAAGAAAGCTAGTTCCTGGCAATTGCCTATATTTATTTATTTAATGCTATCCCTCTGTTTTCAACATGTACAAACTTTTAGCATGCCCATTTACAGATTCATTGTGACTTTGACAGGCATTTCAACTGGATTAGTCACAATTTGGACGGGTGTCAACTGAATGCATAGCTTGTCCGGGAATGCTGCCCCCTCTTTCCCGGGTACCCCCCTTACCGCAAATCCGCTTTCTACGCCGCTCGCATTATCAATTATGCGTTCGTATTGCGTCCCGTGTCCGAGCCCT